ACACAAAAAAACACAATATATGCTACTTTTTCAAAACATCAAATTTGTCCTTTATTACAACAAAACATGCAGGTTTTCTCCATAAGCTTGCTTTGTATGGTGTATCTGGGAAAGTTTTTGAGATTATCAAATTGTTTTTTTGTAACCGCTTTATTAAAGTCATCTTCGAAGGCCAACACTCTTTATTTTCAGTAACTTCCGAGGTGCTTCAAGGTTCTATCCTTGGTCCTGTTTTTTTTTTTTTATCTACATTAATGATCTTCCCAACAACTATACATCTAAAGTAGCTTTTTTTGTTGATGACTCAACTTTATACTCTTGTCTTGTCATAAAGTCTTTTTTTATTCCTTCGCTTAAAACACGCAGTCGATCTTGAATCTGATCTCACTTCTGTAACAGATTAGATCTCACAGTGGCTTGTAAATTTTAACACCAACAAAACTCAGTTATTTACTGCAAAAAACTATCGCAGTACTGTCAACATTTTTATATTATTGAATGACAACCCATATAGAAACCATATATTCTTTATGTCTTTTTGAATTATCTTTTAAACAAGATGATTTTTTTAACATTACCTTAGGGTGTTAACAAATAAATTTAAAAATATTATAAAAAGGTCTTCTTTTTTTTCTTTTTTTTTTTGTGTGGAAAGTGAAACCATTATGTATAAGTAGCTTAGTGAAATTTCAGCTTCAGCTATCCAGGTAAAGTATTTTAAGGCATTTTCTATATAATAAAATTTTTGATTTTTACAAATCAAAATTTGCTTTTTATACTATTTTAAATAGAAAAAGTTTTTTTTTTTTTTTTTTGTGATTTTATAAAAAGCAATTTATACTGTTTTCGCAATTAGTACAATGAGCAGTTAAAGAAAGTAATGGAGTACTTAATTGAATTGAGGATTCCAATTACATACATACCTTTTTTAACTAGTTTGTTCAGAATGGAATAGATAGTTATAAAATAAAAACATATTATGTATGTTTATATTTTGTAGTGCATTTTATCATTATTAGTTGAGCTTTGCATTCAAAACAAACTACTGTACACTTTTATTTCAGCTTCAGGAAAATAATGCCAATATACATTATTTGTGTCAGATTTAAAATTAAAGGCAAACTGCAAGACTTTTATTTGCTAGACAACACTCGATTCGATTTGCCCCAAATAGTCCAACCACTGGAGTGAAACCAGAAGGTTTTACTGCCTCAGCATTAATACACAAACCAGGCAATTTAGGTAAAGCTAAAATTTGTTAAAAAGTTCTTTCTCATTGATTATTCTATATGCAACTTTTCGGCATTGTTTTTGCACCACCAAGATTAACTAACCAAGATAATTAGCTAATTGTTCCATAAGTGCATTAGTGAAAAGTTATCTGAAATGCAGCAAGTTTGCATTTCAGATAAATTTATTTTTAACCTGACAAAAAATCCAAGCAAACACCTTTATGTTTCATGCAAGCAGCAGCTGCAGTCACAATAAAATTAATAAATTTAAAAGAATAGTCAAGTTTGATTGGTAAGATGATACTTTCAGGACAGGTGCTCTTTTGGACGATCTTGCAGTAAAAACTAAAGAATTCTGCACCACAGCACACCAAAAAGATATTTTTCAGAGAGGAAATTATAAGTTCTTTGCCAGCTACTGGGTTATTTCCTGTAAGCTCATATACTTAATTTTTCCTTCAAGCAGTCAGAAGCTCACAATGAGGGCAGGTTTATGAGAGCCTTGACATACTGGCCCTGCACATGACCTAGAACTATCACCTAAACAGTTCGAAAACTTGCCTGCTAATCTCAAGATAATAAACATTGCTACAATTTACATTTTTTTCAAGGACTAATCTTTATAAAGAGTTCTATGGTTTTTATGGTAACTCTTTATAAAGATTAACAACCAAATATCAGATGACGTCTATGTAGAAAGTAGGAAGTTTCTCACCAAAAGCCTTTTACACTAAACTTGTTGACAATTTTCTCATCTTAAGGTTGTATCTTATGCTGACAGGGATCCAGTAAGCAAAAAACAGTTTTAAGGTTTCTTCCAAATTCCCTACTACATGAGAGATGTTAAGGCATTTCAAGTTTTTTTTGTTCTTCATCTATAATCAAGATGTTGGTTTGAAAAACAACATCGATAACAAACTCAATTTCTTCGATAACAAAACAATATCCTCAATAAACTGCTATCTTTTGTAGTTCCAGACTAGATAGACATGACCAATGAAAAGCCTAGAATCCAAACAGCCATTTTTCTAATTTCATCTCTTGATGATTTTGTCACTAAGCAGAATTATCTTCTTTTTGTTCTCCTGTAAATCACTAGTGGAGAACTTTTGTAGTTAGAAAGCAGCTTGCTTATGCCTTTTTTAGTGAGACACTCCTTAATTTATTTTTTTAAATTTCTCTATTTTTGTATAACAACTTGTAGTAAATGCTTGAGCTGAAAATCAATATAAAGTTAATCCAAAACTTTATGGAAAGAATACATAGAATACAAAGAAAGACTTCAGGCCATTTCAAATACGAGGAAAGACTTCAGGCCATTCTTCAGGTATATTACTAAATAATAATGTCAGTAAAACTGTTTAGTGTATGTTTAAAAACATTTAAAACTTTTATTTACTTTCAATGAGTTTTATAATTAGCAAAGTTTCAAAATGCCTGCATGGAGTTAATGTGAAACAGCATTTTTACATAATGTCTGCAAACTATGGCTAAGCATAATTTGTGTAACTATACAAGTTCGAAGAACTTTTGATTTTTTCCTGCAGATCACTGTTTGGTTGTTCCTGCAGATCACTGTTTGAAATAAAAAGCAAATTTTTGTTTAATATTATTTCCATCATGATTTTTTTTTATCAATATTATTGTAAATTTATTTTTACATTAAACAAGTGTAAATCGATTTAAGAACCTTTTAATCAATTTAAAAATCTACAACTATAGTTAACAAGTTATTACCCAGTTGTCCAGTTATCCAGTTGCAATTATAAAGTAAATATTATGTTCTTGTCTAACTTGCTATTTCTTCAAAAGATTGATCTAGGTTAATCAAGTGGAATAGTTATCAACCAAGAAATTTACCTCTATCAGTGTATAATCATGTGGTTAGTTCATACAGAAACATCAAAATGGTGTTAAATATGTAGTTTGGGCTGATTTTATCACTTTATTTTTGGGCAACTTTTAGCTGAAAAGTGTCTATGGCTGAAGTTGTTGTTGTTAATATTTACCAACTAGAAATCAGGATTAGGAATAACCTGAAAAACAGGTTGTACAAAAACTACAATAACTAGAAATCTGCGTCTTCTCGTATCCTTTCAAAAGTTCGGCTTGTCACGGTAAAAAACTATAGTTTTTGTTTCTTGCCGTTTTTACGAAACAAAAAAATATCATATCGTTTTGTATCATATTTTTATGAAACAAGTAAAGCTTGTTTCGTTTTGTACCATATTTTTACAAAACAAAAAAATTGTGTTTCGTTTTATATCGGGTTTTACGGAAGGTTTCATAATTCCCCCACTCCAAACAGATATTTTCTAATTTCCACAATCTGAGCAATACATGAACCGGAATTTTACAAAACAAAAATTATTGTTTTGATTTGTACCGTATTTTTCACAAAACAAAAAAACTTTGTTTCGTTTTGTACTGTTTTTTGCGAAATTGTATAAAAATTGTTTCATTTCATACCGGTTTTATCGAAATAATATTTTTTATTGTTTCATCTTGTTTTGTCTTGTACTGTTTACAGACGCAGATGCTTATCAATAACACACAAAATACTTGACTAAATACACTGCTATAGTGTTAAAAGACATTTTATTTTTTTATTATGGGCAAACCCTTAATGTTTTTACATCAGTTTTATTTTTAGGATATTGTTTTTTTGAGTTAAGTTATATTCAAGAAACCAGTTATATATAGTAAGAGATTCATTTTCAACAAGGTTGCTGGTAGCAGCTAATTAAGTTGAAAGCTACGAAAAAATAAGTTAGGTGGTTAAAGAGCAAGAAAGTGGTTAACAGAAGATTTGTTGCAAATTATCTGAATTTACAATCTTTAAATATCTTAAAACATAGACAATAGTTTTTAAATTTTTAGAATTTTTAACATGTAGATTTTTAACGGGCCCAAACATTTTTGAATTTGAATATTTTTAACATCTTTGAATTTTAAGAGAGCTTTAAATATCAAATTTATCATGTTTTTTTTTTTAATTTTATTATGTTTTGTCTTTCAATTTTGTCATATTTTGTCTTTTATACATAATTTTTTTTTCTTTTTTTAAAATAAGACTTAAAGTGTATTTGAGTTTAAAATACTTTTGAATTTAAATCTTTTGTTCATAGATAATACTGGTAAACATTTGTTTACCAGTATTTTCTATGAACAAAATAATTATTTCATTTTTGCATCAGTTTTGAGGTTTCTTCATAACAGATGTTTTCAAGTTTCTTCATAACAGATGTTTTCAAGTTTCTTCATAACAGATGTTTTCAAGTTTCTTCATAACAGATGTTTTCAAGTTTCTTCATAACAGATGTTATGAAGAAATTTTTAAGAAACATTTCAAATTTTTGTGCTTCTTCTATAATCAAATTTTAATAAAAGAAAATTAAAATTTTTTCTTTCATTAAAGTGATGGATTCAGAATTTTGTTGCTTACTAGATTAACTTTAAACAAAACATTAACTTTTTTTATTATTTATGTATGAAAATGCATTGAAAAAAATAAGTTGTAATATATTCTGATGACATTTTGTTATATTGTTATCACTTTCTTTAGTAATGGTATGCAATATGGTACTGTTTTCTTTCAGTGTTAATTTTAAAAACTTTATTTTCCCATTTTATAATTTTTCATTTTTCAGTTGGTACTGAGAAAAAACTATTATCTGATGATGTTGAATATATGATTTTTATATGTGCATATATGTGTGTGTGTACATGTAACATGTATGTTGAAATAGTTAAATTTCTTCTTTATAGGAGTTAAAGTTACTTTTAAGTAGCGTCTCACAGAAGGAACAGCAAATTATAAGAAATAAAGATGAAGTTGATGAGATTTTCAGGAAATGCGCTCAAATTGATGCAGAAATCAAAGTAAAATTTTTTTTAATTTTTTCTAGTACATGCAAAAGTTTACATTTAAAGATTAGTTTTATTAACATTAGTTAAAAAAATTTTAAAATAAATTTATTTAACTAAACCTGTCTACTTAACTACTTGAAAACTTGTAAAGCAAGTTTTACAAGTTTTGTTTCATACACAAAACCTTTTTTTATTTTATTACCCTTTTTTTATTTTTTATTTCATATACAAGAAAGGACTGTAAAATTTTTTATTTTATTTAGGAGAGAAATGAAAATCTTTCTACAAGAAAGATAGACATGGAAGAGTCAAATAGAGAACTTGGAAAATTAAAAAAAAAGAGAGACGATTACACTAACATAAAAAAGTAGTTATTATTTTTTTAGAAATTGAATAATAATTTTCTTGTGAATGTTAATTTTATGTTTGGCCAGCAACATCTATAAAATATCACAATTAATGTTGTTCTTATTTTTTTATATTTTTTTGTAATTGAATTAGACTTGTTTATTAAGCTTTAGGTTTACTAGGGTGTTTAAAGGTTGAACAGAATTATAAATACTGTGCTTTTATCCATGTATAGTAAACATTGCTTCAAACAAGGTTTACTTGTAGTATAACGATATTTTATAATGTGTAAAACATATTTTCCAAAGCAAAACTAACTTTAAACAAAAAAAGCTTTTAACTTAATAAAAACTAAATAACTATTTTAAGCTTTAAAATTTTTTCTTCAACTAAAAATTTATTCAATTGTTATCTTACATTTGAAAAATGTTTTTATTCGCGTCTTAAAAAAATAATAGAAACTTTCATTTTTTTAAAAAATTTGTTTTTGTTTTTAAAAAGTTGCAAAAATAAATTTTAATTTGTTTTCTATAAAATGAAATAATTTTTTTTTTAATATTTAGATACAAAAGTATATCTTATAATATATAGCAGCCACGGCTGCTATATATTATAAGATTTACTTTTGATAATTTTATTAATAAGATTGATTTTTAATTGCCAAAAGTTTCCTATAATGTTGTGGCCTCACTAAACCCAAAGTAATACCTTTTTGGTTTGTTGGCCCACTTTTGGAGTTGGTTATTTACCATTCCCCCTCTTTTCCTCATATTAAATTTACTGAAACTGTCCCCTGCCCTATCAAACTGCATACTCACCAGCAAAGTGGGCTAGTTTGACCTATTTAAAATGTTTACTGTACACAATTTATTATTTTCCATATCAGCTTTAAATATAATATTGCGCAAAGTTACCATCTCCTATTTATTTCAATAAAATTGTTGATTTCTGTAAGTTTTTAATATTAATATATATTACCTTTTTTTTTTTTTTTAAAAAAAACATTGCTTCCAACAAGGCTGCAAGCAACCACTATTAGAGTTGGAACATGATAACATCTCTTGGTTTTAAAGTTGCTAACTTAAATTGTTATAATAGTTTTCATTTTTAGTTATTTTATTTACGATTGAAATTGTATCAAAACAAGATAAGGGATCTTTTTCAGTATATATCCGGAATTTTGGTTATTTTTTACAACTTTTAGTTTTTCAGGATTTCCAAAATGTTTTCTGTAAATACAAATTTAAATATATATTTTTCCAATATATATGTTTTTAAACTTTTTCAGTCCATTACCCATACAAAAAGAAAAAAAAAATGAGAAAGCCATAGCTTTTAAGTTTAAGACAAATATAAAGAAAATAAATTCGGAGTTTTTTTTGCAAAGTGTTTCCCAGATTTTTTAAATATGATCTTTTTAAATATGACCTAAATATGAGATAATTTCTGTTACTAAATTCCTCTTTATATGTCAACAAAGGAAACTCCTTGGTCGTTTCTTCTAATAAAATCTTTGGTCATTTCTCCTAATAAAACTCAAGCCTTGTTTGATGTGATTATTGACATTACTCAATAATCAAAAAGTTGTCCTTGGGAAAAGAACCAGGTTAACTATTACTGATATTCACCAATTAATTAAACTCTGCCTAAGCCTATCTAATTTTTATATGAAAACACACTTAGAATCAAACCAAATTTTGGCCCTATTGAACAATCACTTATAGTCGTTGTTACAAAGGCAATTTTTTGAAACAAAATCTTTGTAGATTGCAGAAATAAACTTATTTTCACCAAATCTAATGTAAATTTGTGAATGTGAAATTTAATTCTACAGAAAAACATGACAAATTCTAAAAATTGTTAAATCAACAAGATACCACAATTCAATACACATTGGAAATAGAAAATGAAAACTTTTTATATATATATATATTTATATACAGGGGTGGGACCGCAAAATGTGAACACTTTTCTGATTGTAATAATTAATTTTCTGCTAAATATGAACTATTTTAAATGTTCAATTTTTGTTTTTTTACATATTATATTTTACTTTGTTTACATATTCATTAGTACTTTGTCTTTCGTTTTTTATCAAATAAACTCAACTACATCTAACGAGAAAATAGTTATAATAAAACAAAAACGTTCACATTTTGCGGTCCCACCCCTGTAATATATTTTTACATAATATATTTTATATAATATATTTTTACATAATATATTTTATATAATATATTTTTACATTATATATTTTATATAATATATTTTTACATAATACATTTTTATATAATATATTATATATAAAAACTTTTTATATAATATATTTGAACTTTTTAAATATATTCTGTAATAAATACAAATAAATTCTACAATGACTTTAAAATCCATCCAAAATCCGTAATCAAGAATACAATAAAAATAAAACCAAATTCAAACATTAATCCTGCAATAACATTTGGAGTCTTAAGATTTATATCAAGAGCCACAAAAATCTGTTCCCCAAAATACCTTAAAGATGGAATACAATTTATAATAAATATAATTGTTTAAAATTGCCATAAAAAATTAGATTTAGAGCTAATAACAATCTCAAAATCAAAAACAATCCCACAACAACATAAGACCCAAAACTAGGATCAAAATTAGAGAGAAGTTATATTTACAATACCCCAAACTTTTGGAACAATTTTATGTAATAAAAAATCTAATTTATTACCAAATAGCGATCTGGGTGTGTATAAGTTTACATTTTCATGTGCTAGCATTAATTTTTAATTTTACAATTGCAATTAATTCTACCTAGATAAGATAAAGATAAAGATAAGATAAGAGAATCCTTTAAGATTAACTATGCACAATAAAATCTCGTGATAAGGTGCTTTCCACCACTTTTTGACCTTATGTCAGTTCACTATTATAATGTCATTATAACGGGTTTTTTATATACGTTTTTTATATACATTTTTTTGTGATATATCTATTGTATTTTATTTTACATGTGATGGTCTAAGCAAATCAGACTGAAATATCGCATAAAGAAACTAATAGTTAGTAATTTATGTTATTATATATTAACCTTGTTTGATGAAAATTCCATCATCAATTAGGCCAAGCATATCAATTGATATGTTTGGCTTGGATTTACAATTCTCCATCAAGCAAAGTAAGAAACTGTTGTCTTTCAAAACACTGGACGCTAGGCTATTTTATCGCATATTGTTGGCTTCGGCTGCTGAGTAATCTAACTGATTAAGGTATACATTAAGCAGGCAGTGCCATACATGGTCTTTAACATTGTCCTTTTTTTTTTTAAATACAGAAGTTGGGATGTAGAAATTTTATTTGATCTGATTGGCAAGTTGTGTTGTCTTACATAAACTCAAATCACAGTAACTTCTCAAAACTTCCAGGACTTTCTTGTAATTTTCAGGAAAATCTTATCAACTTTGTTTTAGAGAGTGAAAGTCAACACAGAAATTAAATATACAGATAACTTAGTTTAATCATATTTTGGTTAGATCTGTTTTTGTTGATGATTCAAAACCTTTTGTCTCAGCATCAGCCATTCTACACTGGGTGCTAAATTACCCTATTATAGTGTTAAAAATCCGGAACTAAATTAGTTTACAAAATATTTTATTTAAAAATAACAGGATATAAATATATATATATATATATATATATATATATATATATATATATATATGTTTTTGAAAATTAATAACTAAATTTTTGTTTTTAAAAATTTTTTAAAAATTTGAATAAACATTATTGACGCAATGGCATTTATCAGATCATATATATATATATATATATATATATATATATATATATATACATTTATATATATGTACATTTTCACATATATATATATACATATATATATGTACATTTTCACATTTTTCATACATATATATATATATGTACATTTTCACAGGAAGACATGCCATTTCACGTCTTTCTATATCCACGCAAAAAATAATGTTTTAACAATTTGACCACGGCATATTTTTAAAATTTAAAAACGCGCTACAAAAACTTACCTAAACTTATCTAAAAAAAAATTTAAAAAAAAAATAAAATATAATGGAAAATAAAATAAAAAAAATACTAAGTTAAGCAAAAACACAAGAAAATAAATATATAACGTAACTAAAACAAAACTCATCTAACTAAAATGCTAAGTCTATTTAATTTACGCATCGAAAAACCATTTCAATCTTTGTTTCAACATTTTTATATATTTTTTATTTATTGAATATATTCAAAAGTTAAACATTTCTCATAAAAAACACATAGTTATATAAATAAAATAAAAAAACATTTTATTAATACTTTTTTAAAAATTAATTAGAATTGTATTTTTTTACTTCATTGAAAGCGTTTCGGTAATATAAAAGCATTTAAGATCAACTTATTAAATTGTAACGGTTTTATAAAACTTTTTTTTTTAAAGAAATTTTGTTTATCTTTTGAAATGCATTGACTTTAATCATTCTTATATTTAAAATCGTTAAAGAGACTTTCGTAGTCGTAGAATGTCATCATTTATAAAAACAAAACATTTTTTTATTTTTTAATAAGGTTTATTTTAGAAATGGACACTTTAACAATTTAAATGTTTTAAATTAAAAAAATATATACAACTGTCAATTATATTTAAAAAACAAAACTTTTTTTCAGTAAATTGTTGCTTTATTTTAAAAATCGTTAATGCTAATATAAAAACATTTGTTAAGAAGTTTTGATGTAATTAATTTAACTTTTTTAGAATATTTTTTATTTAGCGTGTTTCTAAAATGTTTTTTGAATTAGCCGCGGTCAAACCATCATAGGAAAACTTTTTTTTTTATTAAACATCTTTGCTTCCAACAATGCTGCAAGCAATTACTATTAGAGTTGGAAGTTATTGGATGAGAAAAAGATGAAGATTGTAGAGCAAGATAATGGTTGACAGACGACTTAAAAGATTGCAAATTATATGAATCAGGAAAGCAAGATAAAGGAAGCAAATTCCAAAGAATTGATGTTCGAGAAAAAAAAACTAAAGGGATAAGAGTTTCCATAAGAACATTCACAGAAAAAGGATGAGAATTGAATGACTAGTAACACAGGAATGAATTTTAGTAGATGGCACAAGAGAGGCTAGCTCTTTAGAGCAGTGCCCATTATAGTATTTGTAGAAAAGAGAAAGAGAAGCAACATTATGGCGATGTGATTATGGTTGAAGGTTGGCTGCAAGAACAGGTCCAACTATGTCTACAATACGTTTTTGTACCTTGTCTAAAAGAGAAAGGGCACCATTTGGAGATTCGCCTCAAATATGGCAACAGTATTCCATACAAGGCCGGATTTGAGATTTATAGAGATAGAGAATAGAACCCGGAGTAAGAAAGTGTCGAGCTCAATAAAGAGATGCAACTTCAGCAGATGCTAATTTTCCAATGGAATAAAACATCAACAAAACAGCGTCACGAAGTTGTTTTGCATTAACACAAGCTATTTATATTTTTAAAACTACTTAGCAGTTTGTTTTGTTGTTTTATAGCTTTTTACAATAACAATTAAATACTCTTTAAAATAACACATGTTTTATGGTCAGCATGAACATAATAAATAGTTTTCTATGACTAATTAAAGTGGTTTAAGTATTGTAATGTTTGCTTTTTACTCTTAGTTTTTTACTTTTAATTTTTTCAGTATCATGTTAAATAAAAACAATTATTAAAAGTAATATCTTAAAAGTATTAAATATGTTACTTGCTCATTGTACTGTAACTTAAACTTTAAATTATAACTTAAGCTGTAAATTCTAACAGTAACCGACACTATTTTAAACTCTGTCAAACCAGAAAATTATAAGGTAATATTTAAATATGGGAGATAATATGTTAAAAATAACAATTACATACAAAAGATACAATTTTATACTAACACCACCTCCCACCCCCCATTACCGCAAAGCGGCACATGCTATGAGGGGGGGGGGGCAAAAATTGTTTTTACCATGATTAGATTTTTTTGTGTTAATTCAAGCCCTGTATAATATATGTATATATATAATATACATATATATATAATATAGTATATATATATATATATATATATATATATATATATATATATATATATATATATATATATATATATATATATATATATATATATATATATATATATATATATATATATATGTGAGTATATAATATATATGTATAATGTATATGTATACAGGCCTTGGCGGGAATAAATAAGCACGAGAGCAGAGAAAAGCTCTCCTAAAACGAAATTGGGGAGCTGTGCGAGCTGCTACTCATAAATCAGCGCTCTTTTTAACTTTAATTTTTTTTTGCAACAACCCTGCTTTTTAAAAAGCATTACAGTATAATAAGCAATTAGTTTTTTTATAAATGACATTGTGTTTTTTGTTTTAATTACAATGATAAATATACTTTCGTAAGAAAAATTATACTTTTGCAAGAGCCGTAAAATGCTTCCGTAAACCATTTTAGGGGAGTGTGGGCAAGAGCTAAAGCTCTCACTTCTTGCCGAGGCCTGTGTATATATATAATATATATATAAAAAATATCCGGGGCCCTGGTCTTTTTCTACAGACAATGTCATGGTTCATTTAGTTAATAGTTTTTTATGAATTTACTTACTCCTAAGTATTTCATTTTAGTATTGCTGCTAAGCCAAACAAAAGTTAATAAAATGGATAAAAATAAACACCCTCAGTTTTATCTTAATAAATTTATTTAAATGTAAATTCTACTATTTCAATTAATAATTGAATTAATTTATTAATGTTCCAAGGATAAAAAGTTTCTATAAATTTGCCTAGACTGCCAGAATTCTATATTACATGTTGGTAATAATAAAAATCTATATATTGTTAATTAATATAATTAACAAATGTGGCCGTTTTAAGAAATTTTTGTTTTTGAAAATTTTAAATAAACTTAAATAAATGTTATTGGCGCAATGGCGTTTATCATATCATAAACAAAAAACTACTGTTCAATCATTTTATACAAATTTTTAAAAGAAAAAAATTTGTACCTAGAAGATTAAATGGAGCGTTCATTATATATGTTAGTTTTCACTTTCTTTTTTTCTTTTTTATTTTTAGTGATTTGTGGCGGAAACAGAGTGTGCTTGAGAATACAATCCAAAATACAAAAGCAGCTTTAAATAGAGCTGAACATGATTTACGAAAAACACAAAATCGGGTATCTTTTTTTTCAGTTCAACAGTTATTTAAAGTTCATCAATTTCTAGGTGCACTGTGACAAGTTAAATTGCATCAATTTTCTAGGTACGCTGTGGTGGGATATATAATAACTAAATTTAGTTATATCAAGTTGTGATATTTATCTAATAATTTTAGTAATATTTTGTTAGGATAGTTTGTATTTATTAGGATAGTAAATGTGTTGTAAATGCATGCATCATGAAATGTTTAAATATTTGCTAAGTCATTAAAGCTTGTAATATTTACCATTTATTTGTTTTAATTTATTTTTAAAATAGTTATTAATAAAAAGTTTTTATTTTAACAAATAAATAGTATTTTTTTAAAAATTTACTTTTTATTTAAATGGAAACAAATTTATTGTTTATTAATGATGTGCTGGATACCTGGCTAGGTACCAGTTTCCTAGCTTTGATTATTCTGCCAGTATTTCTAGGTACTCTGAATATATTCTGGGTGCCTGTTATAGAGCAGACAATACAACTTGAAAAACTGGCAAATCTCTATTGTTTATAATAATTAACTACTAAGAGCAAAAAAAAAAATTTCAAAAAGATTTTATCTTTATTTTTGTGAGTTTAGATTTAGCCTAACTCTTAAACTATATTTTGTAAAATGATAGCCTAACATTAACACTAAGTTTGTATTTTTTTACTCTATATTTTTGATCTATTTTTTTAGCAATAGAAATACATTCTAATTGTGGTTATTTTACTTTCATTTTAGTGTTTTTATTGACTAAGTTTATAGTTTTTGTTTTCTAATATAGTCTGTAGCTACTGGAATTGAAAGTGTTCGTCGTGTCGTGCAAGAAAAAGGTATAACTGGTGTTTATGGTACACTTATTGAAAACTTTCAGTGCGATGAACAGTTCTACTCTGCTGTTGATGTAACGGCTGGTGCCAAGTATGTTTTTTTTTGTTTGTTATTTATTACACCCTATTTTCAAATAACAAAACTGTTTATTTAACATAGTGTCTTTTAATGTCTGGGTTTTAAAATTTTTTTAGTATTTAGATCCTGATTTTTTGGTTCTGTTTTACTGAATATTTAAATTAGTTGCAAATTATTAAGGAAATTAGAAGTTTTAAGAATTTCTTAAACCATTGCATCTTTTAGTTGATTATTTTTTATTTATTTTAAGCATGTATTAAACCATCTGTTAGTTGATTGTTTTTACTTTGAAAAAAAAATTATTACTGATGTTATAGTAAAAAATTTTTATTTAAAAAGGTTATTCAACATTATTGTAGACACTGATAAAACAGGAACTACAATATTACAACATATTAATAAAATGGAGCTAGGCGGTGAAATAAATTTTATGCCATTGAATCGTTTACATTTCAAAGAAATTCACTATCCTACATCACCTGTATGTTTTATATTATCTTATTTAATTGTCTTAACAATTTTACCATTTAATAGTTTTAAACAAATGTAAAAAATAGTTTAAAAATAGTTTATTTACTTTAGGATGTACTTCCTATGATTTCAAAAATAAATTTTGATCCTATATTTAAACCAGCTATGCAACTTGCATTTGGAAAAATGTTGATATGTCGAAATCAAGATATTGCTTCACAATTCTCTAAATCTCACGAAATTGATACAATAACTCTTGAAGGTTGTATGTTATTTAATTTTTTTTTTAAATATGTGTGTTAATTTATATATATAAAAAAATATATATGCATATTTATATTTAGCGAGAAATTTATTTTTAAACGATATTCGCTTCTCTTTCTCTTTTCTACAAATATTATAATGGGGACTGCTCTAAAGAGCTAGCATCTCTTGTGCCATCTACTAAAATTCATTCTCGTGTTACTCGTCTTTCAATTTTGAAAGAGTTTCATCCTTTTTCTCTGACTAATTTGCAATTTATATATATATATATATATATATATATATATATATATATTTATTTATTTATTTATATTAAATGAATAAAAACAACTTTTGATGGAACTCTGAGTTTCATGCCTTTCGGCAATCATCAGCCATTGTGTATTTTGTCACTTAAAAACCGTTTAAAAATTACAAATTAAAATTACGGTGGAACGAGTTCTGACGTTACCAAACAAAACGACGTCAAAGGTTTTAGTCCCCGGTATCAAATAAGGATAGTAAAAATTTTTTTGAATGCCGGCACTTTGATATTATTTCATATCTTTTATTAAGTAAGTTTTCTCCTTTATATGATAATATGTGAAACTTCTCGCGGAGACAAAGATTACAAACTTTTGATGCTTGATTGTAGGGCTTACATTGTGCTATTATCTTCCATGTAATCACAGGATTTATATGTTTCGATTTTAGCTCCCATATTTCTTTAGAAAGTTCAGTGTCATTTTTATATTTGGGTGCATTGAAAGATTTAAGATGGTTGGCATATCTTAATTTAAATGTGGTTTCACTTATACCGAAATAAACTTTATCTTTGCATTGAGGATCACCAGAACTTACAGTGGCTTGGTATACGATATTGCTAAAAAGGTATTGGTTATTTAACGGACAAATATTTTTGTCTATGCAGTTACATTTTTTTGATGTTTTATTTTTATCGCTATGTAAAATTTTGTTATTATGCGTATTTATTAAAGACTTGACATTAGGCATGCAACTATAGCTTACTTTAACATAGTTTCGATTAAAAATTTTATGAAGCCTGTGTCCTACTGGAAAGTGTTGGTCAATTAAAGCTAAAAAGCGATTTCCAATTTTAGTTTCAACATTTTTGCTAAACGGGGGGTTGTACCATATAATTTTACGTTTGCGATGTCTTTTTTGATTTTTGTTTATTTGCGGTTGGTAGGTGAGTTTTAAATTGTATCCTGATTTACGTAAAGCCTCTTCATACGGAATAATTGAGTTATTGAACACAGTTTCATTTACTGTCATATTCGATAATCTTAACTCAATAGTGCGAGGGATTTCTTTTATTATATTAGGTGGATGGTTTGACTCTGAATGAACATACATAAGTTGGTTATTAGGTTTACAATACGGTTGATAAGAACTGTCAATCAGGTTCAATGTTACATCAAGAAAATTGACAATTTTAATATTACATTGGATGGATATAATTAGGTTGTTACTTTTAAAAATATGTGTAAAATGTTTTTTGATTTTTTCCATTTGCTGGCCGCTTTTGTTTTAAAAAATAGCAAGCCCGTCGTCACGATACAAGACAAAAGTATTTTTATCGTAATGTTGAGAGAGCTGAAACAACATAAAAATACCAACTAGTTCACAAACTTCAGCTCCATCAAATGCTCCCATTGTGACATCAAATAATCCGCCTCTTTTCTTTATCCAAGCTTCGTCGTTATTAAAAATTAAAGATTTTCTTGCATGATATATTATTTTTTTATCGTCATTTTTTATAATAACATGTTGTTCGGCGAAACTGATTGCGTTGGTAAGAATGTTTTCACTAATAGATGGGTAAAAATCATTTATATAAAAATTAGAAATTTGCAAAGGTGTTTATTTTTGATTTTTTTAAACCAATCGATAACAAAATAGGTGCTTTGCCATTGATTCAACTGTAGTTTATTTTTTAGTTCGTGAATAATTTTAGATGAAATAACTTTACTAATTCTTCCTACCTCGTTTTTCGAAGGGTTTAAAAGGCGAACTGAAGGGTTGTTAATAAAATTATCCTTATGGTCTTTTAATGTAAAAAAACAGCCGGACGATCCGTTTATCTCAATATTGTTATACACTTCATGGTGGATTAAAAGGTTTTTTCCTTCCTTAATTATTTGATCTTTTAATTCTGGCATCGACTTTTTGTAGGTAGAAGTAATTGCGTTTGTTAACAGTTTGTTGTATTCATCTTGAGATAATTTATATAAATTAGATGTTTTGTCTGCCTTTATTAATGTTTTATGCGACGTACGTATGGATTTTAAGTCTTTTTGCATATTATTTTGAAACTTACAGTTTACGTTGCAAAATTTTATTGATTTAACTAAGTTTATAAGGTCTTTTTCGAAAGAACGCATTTCATTTATTTGTGGTGGGCATTTTGATGATTTGATTCCGTAGTTTGTATAATTTGAATCATTTCTTGGGTAGTTATTTATGAAAAAGAACGCCTTTCATCTCATTTTCTTTACGAGCATTTCTGTTTTGTTTAGTAGTTTTAATTTATATTCTTTTTCAGATGGAATCGGTATATTTTTGATTGAATATTTCAAGTTTATTTTTTCCATTTTTGTTGACGACTTGAGAAGAGTGCTCAACTTGTAGGAGCAAATTTATACAAAATAGAAAGTGTATTATTATGGTATAATAATAATAATACAAATACTCTTGTGCGTTTAAGAGTGCTCAATACTATTAAATAATAGAGCAATATTTATTTTATATTATTACCAACCGCAATATTATTACCAACCGCAAATAAACAAAAATCAAAAAAGACATCGCAAACGTAAAATTATATGGTACAACCCCCCGTTTAGCAAAAATGTTGAAACTAAAATTGGAAATCGCTTTTTAGCTTTAATTGACCAACACTTTCCAGTAGGACACAGGCTTCATAAAATTTTTAATCGAAACTATGTTAAAGTAAGCTATAGTTGCATGCCTAATGTCAAGTCTTTAATAAATACGCATAATAACAAAATTTTACATAGCGATAAAAATAAAACATCAAAAAAATGTAACTGCATAGACAAAAATATTTGTCCGTTAAATAACCAATACCTTTTTAGCAATATCGTATACCAAGCCACTGTAAGTTCTGGTGATCCTCAATGCAAAGATAAAGTTTATTTCGGTATAAGTGAAACCACATTTAAATTAAGATATGCCAACCATCTTAAATCTTTCAATGCACCCAAATATAAAAATGACACTGAACTTTCTAAAGAAATATGGGAGCTAAAATCGAAACATATAAATCCTGTGATTACATGGAAGATAATAGCACAATGTAAGCCCTACAATCAAGCATCAAAAGTTTGTAATCTTTGTCTCCGCGAGAAGTTTCACATATTATCATATAAAGGAGAAAACTTACTTAATAAAAGATATGAAATAATATCAAAGTGCCGGCATTCAAAAAAATTTTTACTATCCTTATTTGATACCGGGGACTAAAACCTTTGACGTCGTTTTGTTTTGTTTTGTTTGGTAACGTCAGAACTCGTTCCACTGTAATTTTAATTTGTAATTTTTAAACGGTTTTTAAGTGACGAAATACACAATGGCTGATGATTGAAACTCAGAGTTCCGTCAAAAGTTGTTTTTATTCATTTAATATAAATAAATATTGCTCTATTATTTCATAGTATTGAGCACTCTTAAACGCACAAGAGTATTTGTATTATTATTATTATACCATAATAATACACTTTCTATTTTGTGTATATATATATAGATTGATAGATAGATAGATAGATAGATATATAGATATAGATATAGATATCGATATAGATAGAAGTAAGTTAGAAAACGTAAATGGCACAAATTTTTTTTTTTTAAAAGTTCCTATAAAATGATTAAAAACAGTAGTTAATTTTTGTTTATTACGAAAAAACTATCAATTATTTGAAAATAGTATGAAATATAAGTTCATATGATGTAGAAAAATCAACTGTACTTATATTCATCAAATGTTTTCTTGCAAAAAAAAAATAATGGCACAAATAAGAAAAATTTCTAAATTTAGACAAAAAATTACTTTTCAATATTTAGTAGGTCCACCCTTTGTCAGAATAATTACTTTCAGATGTTGAGGCATTGGCTCCACTAGAGATTTGGTTTCTTCTGGAGTTATTTTCTCTCATGCTTTAACTATGGCTGCTTTTATATCATTTTGTCTTCTGTAAGCTCGACCTTTAACTTTCCTGTCTATAATCTACCTCAAATGCTCAATCAGATTAAGGTCAGGGGACTGGGTTGGTCATTCTATCTCAGTATCATTATTTCGAAAATAATCTTTTGTTGCTATGGCAGAATGTTTTGGATCATTGTCTTGTTGAAAGACGAAGTTATTTTCGAATTTTGCTTCAAAATGTTTATATTCAAATTGGCATTCAGTGTTGATTCAATGAAATTCAATTTGCCAGCTCCTTGCCATGCCATTGATCCCCACACCATAACATTTCTACCACCTTGTTTTACTGTTCCTCTTATTTAACTTAATTTGTATGCCTCTCTTTGTTTTCGCAAAACTTTTTGCTGTCCATTGTTAGATAACAGGTGATTCTATCATGCAAAATACTAATATATACTAATGCGCAAAGTTTAAACTTTAAATCAGAAAAATTAAGAATTAAATTTGTGGAACCTTAAATAAAATTATAAAATTATTTGTTTTGTATCCATCTGATGAAATCATGTTAAATTTAGATTTATCACTCCAAATTATTTTCTTCCAGTACTCAATAGTTGTCTTTTTTGTCATCTTTTTTAGCTATCTTTGTATCATATTTCTTAGAATCAAATAGGTTTTTTTGCGACATAATCTGCCATAAAATCCTTGCTCTCAGATTTTATTTTGGATAGTTTGAACTAAAATCATGATTTTGTGGTTGTTTTTTTTGTTTTTTTGTAGTTGTTTTTTTGTCTGCAATCTTTTGAGCAGCTTTAAATCTGTTTTGCTTGACTTGTAAAATAATATTTCTATCAATTGCAGCAGATGTTTTTCTTTTACGGCCTCTTCCAGCTATATCAGTTGTAGTCCCATTCAAACTATACTTTTTTATAATGTTGTTGTCTGTTCGAAAAGTGATTCCAGACTGCTTAATAACTTCTCTGTAAGTCTTACCATTATTTACCAAATCCACAACTAAGTTTTTTTGAGAAATTGTCCAATGTTGTTTTACTACTTGCATGTTGCTATTAATCAATTTTATTAAATTAATCAAAACTCATGGGTTATATATATATTTAATGTTTTACATATGTAAATATCTTATGTGTTTCATATTTAAATATTATTTTAGACTTTAACTTACCAAAGTTTCATTTTTTTCCCACAAAAGTACAAAAAAATAGCTTTTAATAAAGTCTGGCATGCTAGTCGTCTCCATATACTTGTTTCATAATGTTGCTTCATATCTGGGGAAGTTTTTGAGACTATAAAATCATTTTTTTCTAACTGCTTTGTTTAAGTATCTTTAAAGGCCAGCACTCTTCTTTATTTCCAGTAACTTCTAGGATACTTCAAGGTTTTATTCTTAGTATTGTTAAATGTAGTATTGTTTTTATCTAAATTAATGATCTTTCTGACAATCTTACATCTAAAGTGGCTCTATTTGCTGATGACTAGGCTCTGTACTCTTTGTTTTGACAAAAAGTATGATCTGATCTTGTTTGCTCGAGATTAGATCTTTAATCTTAAAAAAAGGTACATTACCCTTCATAAATATTGGAAGACCTAGAGTATTGCAATAACAATTAGCTTAAGAAAATCAAGTTTTATTTGAGTTAAAGTTCACCAACAACTGAAATGCTGTTGCAGAAGTGAGATCCTTTTCAAGCTCAACTGCTCTCTCCTAGCAATCAGAGAGTGTTGGCTTCTTATCAAGATAAGAATAAATGACAGTATCATCAGCTTGGGGCTTGTTAATTTGAACAAAACTAAGTTATTTACTGCAAACAATTACTGCAATACTGTCGACGTTCCTATATTAATAAATGGTAACCTTTTCACTAAATCCTCTACTTTATACCTGTTTGGATTATCATTCACTACAGACCTCTCATTGAAATCATATGGTTGCTTCTCTTTATCGTGCTTGCCATTTTCCTACTCCTGAATTCATTCGCTATCTCTACAAATCTATTATTTGTTCCTGAATGAAATAATGCTGTCATATTTGGGCTAATTCTTCTTATAATGCTCTTTCTCTTCTAAACAAGGCTTTTCAAGTCTTCTGACAACCGTTTTCTTGCTCTGTAACTCTATTTTTTGTTTTCTAGTAACTCTTAATTTAATAGTAACAGTGTGCTTTTATTTTGCAGGCATTCTTTTACATAACAAAATATCTGAATGCAATAAACATTAAAAACATTGAATTGTTAATTATTATGATTTTTCACTAAAAGATACTTACAGGTTAAATTTAAAAGTTGTAGAATGGTTAAATAATGCAATGTTTTCAAATACACCTAATTTTTGAACTTAAACATATTTGAATAATCAAAGCAAAAAAATATTTTTTGTATGATTATCTAAAATAAAATTACATGACTAGTTATTGTATATGAAAGTTATTTTATAATTATTCTATAAAATACATTCTTCATTATTAAAGCCATTTTTAATTGTTTATTGTCATCTAATTTTTAATAAAAAAATTAAACAACTACTAGAAGATTTTCTCGTTAACATATTTGTCATTTATAATAACTTTACTGTAGCCATATTAATCTGAGCTGATTCTCAAATAGAGTTTATTTATTTGTTTAGTTACTTATCTGCATTTAGATAAAGAAAAGTTTGTAATAATACTAAATAACATGTTTGAATGTATTTGGATTCTTCATTAACTTACACAGGCCATGGCAATACTTTTTATTTATGTAATAGTTTTCTACATATTTCTATATAATAGGGGTAACCTTAGGGTAGGGGTAGGTGTAACATTAGAGTTAGGGGTAACCTTAGAGGTAGGGGTAGGGGTAATAGTTTTCTATATTTTTATAAATGAATATAATAATTAGAATAATTTTTGTTTCTGGTTTCTTTGAACAATTACAATTTTTTTGATTTGCCATTGTTTTTCAAAAAAATTTTGTATTTGTAAGCAAAAGTTTAAATAAAATATTTTTGATATTAATATTTATAGTTGTAAGCATATCTTTTTTTAAAAATATTGTTTTCTTTATAGTTATATAATATTAATTATAATTTCTTGTTGCTGTTGTGACAATTGAAATTGTTTTTGGTTTAGGAGATAAGTTCAGTCATCGAGGAACACTAGAAGGTGGTCATATTGATCTTTCTAAATCTCGTCTAGTATTGCATAAAAAAGTATGTGATTTTAAGAATAGTTTACAAACTCAAGAAGCAGAACTCGCTAAGTTAAATTCTCAAGTTGAAGAAATTTCTCATAAAATAACCAGAGTCTGCAGTGACTTACAGCAAGTTGAACTAACCCAAGAACAACTCAAGTAAGTTTTTTATTATTTAATAAATCCAAATCTTTTTCCTTTTTTATATTAGGTCACTTGTATTTTTTTTTTCTTTTTAATAGTAAAAATTCTTATATTTTTTTATCAATAAATAATAAAAAGGGTGTAGTTACAAAAAGACAACTTATTCCTGGTCTTTGTGTTCTTGGGCTCCAAAAATTTCATAAGACTTTTGTTAAAAAATCTTGATATTTAGGGATTTCATAAACTAATATTTCTTCCTATTTTAGGTTATTAAATAATCTTCCTATTTTAGGTTATTAATAAAATGAAGACTTAAATATTTTGATATTTTGATGGAAAACTTTTATTTTGATAGTTATAAAATCTTTATTTTGATGGTTTTTATTTTGGTCATTTACTTATAGTATAAACTAAACAAAAAAGTTAAGCAAAAGATTTTATAAGTTTGAGTTATTAATAATTTAAATGAATTTATTAGATGCTTTTTTGTGCAGAAATGGCTGCAATATGTGATAATTTTCAACATTTTTTTGAGTCATTTTCGTTCTCTTTTTTTAGAAAAAATTATGTTTTAATATTTTTTAAATAATCAGAAGTTTAAATCTTCTTTTCTGGAAGCAATTAGTTGAATCAGGATAGAGTCAATCTTATCAGAAAAAAAAGCTGATCTTTTTCAACAGATAAAATTGAATGCTCATCAAGTAGAAATCAACAACAAAATGATAAAGGCTGTTTTTATTGCCTTGTTGAACTATAAAAACAAGAGGAAAATAGAAAGTTCCAAACATTAGAAATAAAAAACAATGTGATAATGCTATTGAATCAAGTAATATTAGGACTTAGGGAAAAACAATGTGATAATGCTATTGAATCAAGTAATATTAGGACTTAGGGAAAAAGTTTTGAGTGAAGTATTTAAACAATACAACAAAGAATTTGTTATATTCACTAAGGCAGTTGGCATCAGACTGATATGGCACAAATAAATCTTTTTTTACAAAAATAAAACTTCTTCTTACACTTTAGTAAGTGAAAGGAGCCTGAAATAGAAATAAAGAAACTTGACAAGACATTGGTTATACTGCATATAAAAGGAATGGAAGTTGATAAAAAATAACTGTTTCTCACTTTTACACTCATTTTTAATTTTTTAATATTTCAAACATTTGTTTCTCACCTTAAAATATTTTTAATTTTTAAATATTTCAAACATTTGACCATTTTACAGTATTGTTATTAGTTTTTATTAGTTTTCATTATTTGCCTTTATAGTTATTGTAAATAACTTGAAAGATAAATTTTGACATTATCCAGTTTCTCCTTGTATATAGAAAGTAAATGATCTGTTTTCTTTGGGGTGGGAATAAAAAGTAGTGTGGAAGTTAATGTAAAAGTTTAAATTTTAAATTTGCAAGTAGATATAAATATTAGGAAAAATACGCTAAATTTGATTTGAAAAATCATGGAAAATCAGAAAATTTTATTGCATAATTATAGCGGCAACCCTGATGGTTTCTCAAGATTTTTGCAGAAGTCTGTATTTTACTGAAGTTTTTATTGAAGAGATTAACAAACCATACTCTAAAAGCAAAAATATAAGACTACAACAAATAGCTGTATGCTGTTGCTCTATTACTATGCTGTTTTAATATTATTAATTTTTTTTAATTTTTTTTTTTTTTTTGTTTATTTAAAAGCATATTGATCATAATTTGTTATTTTACAGAAATACTTACATGCAACAAAAACAGGATGTTCAAAACTTGGCAAAATCAAAATCATCTATAGAAGCAACATTTACACCCAAGGTTTTTTTTTTTAATTGTTTCAAATATTTTTACTTGTGTTTACATTGTATCATGATAATTAATTGATAATTGTATTTTTATGAATAATATCTTTGTAAATAGTAAGTTTCTATTTAAATATTATTTAAGCAGAAAATTATTATAGAATATTTATATAGAAAATTTTTTTTGTATAAGTTTAATATATTTAAGTTTACATATTATATCAATTATAAGTTTGTGTCTTGGGTACTGCAATAAATAGCAATATGGATTTTCACAAGTTTTTTTGTTATGTCTGGTCTGTTAAATGGTTTCTTTTTTTATATCGATCTTTTAAAATTATAACCAAGTAAATAAAGTATAGTGACAAGTTAAGTATCATAAACCAAGTTTAATATTTTAAGTCAGTTAAATGATTTTAAACAAAAAAAGATTGCTTAAATTTGTTTATAAGAAACACTCCTAAGAAATATTTGTGCTTTTTTATAAGTTGTTTATAAGAAACACTACTAAGAAATGTTTGAGCTTTTTTATAAGTGAAATTCACCTTTTTTTTAATTCAAGTGTTTAATAGTAATACTAAAATTAAAATATCACGTGTGATGTCAGTAATGGAACCTTCAGGTTTTTTCAGATTCTTCAGATGACAATCTCAAGCTTAACAGTTAGATCATGTACAACAATAATTACATTGCCTTTTTTGATTTTGTCTTAAACAGAACGAGCTTAATTAATTGAACAAACTTAAATGTGAAAAGAGTATTCCATACAAGGTAAAGAGGTTTATAGAGGTAGAAAATGTAATCAGGAGTTAACCTGTTTATTATTCTTACCTTACCAGATGGTAATTTTGCAATGGATTGTATATGGTTTCCATGAGAGGTTAGTATTGAATTAAAATATGATAAGATATAGTAAAGTACTTGGAAAGTTGCCTATGAGTGGAGTCAAAAAGATTTAGTGTTTGTCATCCTAGGCTGGAAACAATGTAAAATTGGTTAATATATATGCCAGCCTATCAGATAAAGAAAAGATATAGTCTGGTTAATAGAGCTATTCTGCTTATCCCTAAGTCTTTGCCTTCTGTATTACAAAAGGCCTAAATACAGTTAACATCTGTCCACAGTGAGTATTTTTTATTGAGACACCATCTTTTGCTTTTACTCATCTCCAACTCAGGGAGTATTTCAAGCCAGGACTAACTTCTTGCATTCGCAAGAAAGTTAATTTTAATTTAAAGTAATTTAGTACTTTTTTAATTTAGTTGCTATGGATACCTATATTGCTTAACAACCAGATACTTTCCTTAGTTACACACAGATAAATGAATTTTTGAATAAATTTTTGTCAGATTTTCAACCGTCCTATTTTAAATAACTATTAGATATTAAATATTAAGTAAATAATTTTAAGTAAAGATTTCGGTCATTAATATTAAAAATATTGCAAATAAAACATTGACAATTTGAAACACTTTAACAATTTATGAAAGATACATACATCCATAAAATAAGAAAACTTATTTTGGGTAAGTTAACAGTCAGAGAAAGAAGCAAATCACTAAATTTTTCTGGGATTTGAGATTTTGAATTTTGAGAATTTGACCTTCTCATGCTGCTGGTTATTGGGTCTGATTAGCATAAAAGTTGGCATAATACATCAGAGTTAGTTTTTAAACGACTGCATTTGCGTGTGCAATTTTTACAGAATCTTTTGAAATCTTTGTTTTGTGCTTCCTGTGCCTACTCGGAGAGCATGCCAATAGGCAAGACCATTCTCTTCACAACCTCATGTCCGTGTAATAATATCTTGTGCAAACTTTGTGCCATGTAATACCATTAATAGCTCTGTACAAACAATAGAGCCACCTAAAATGAGGGAATCAATCATGTAATTACAAAAGCTAAGTTAGCCACAGCTCAGTATTGAAAAAATATTACCAAATTAACTTACTTCAAGGCAGTACTTTTGAAATGCATCTGCATTAATTGGCGTAGCTGATGACAATGTGGCAAAGATCACATGCAACTTTTTCAGCAGTAGTACATCCAGCTTTAAAATTTCAGCCACAATACTTTAAATTTGGCACATTTAAATAATCAAATAAACTTAATTTTCAGTAGTTTTGAGAATTATTATTAATATTTAATTTGGCAAACTTTATTTGGAGAATGAAATTTTTCCACCTTTACTTTGGGAATTTTAATTTTATGAGCATTTGGGAATACTGCGTTTGACAGGGCACCACATGGCTAGTTTACACACTGTTTATATATATATATATATATATATATATATATATATATATATATATATATATATATATATATATATATATATATATATATATATATATATATATATATATATATATATATATAGAACATTGTAAATAATTTTTAGACAGATCAGATTATGTCAAAATTTTGATTTTAGTCCATAGCTGCCCCACTGCTCAGAACTTAAAATTTCAAGTTCGGAGTTGAAATACTTCCTGGGAATGGTTCTGAATTGAATAAGTTAAATCTGACAAAAGTCATACTAGGTGATAGGAGATTTATCTAAACATTCTAAACATTAGTTGAGGAGCTTCTTAAATTTCAAATTTAAACAACCCCTTTTAAATTGCATTAGACTTGTTTAAATGACAACCATTCGACTTGTTTATTTGACTTTTTGGCAAAATTATAATATTTTAAAGTTTAGTATAATTGCTGAAGTTCTTGTAAATTTTCATAAATATTAAGTTTGGTTTTTAAAGGCTCTGTGAATTGACTTTAGTTTTTTTACTGTTTGTTTTTGTGTATTTTTTATGCTTATTGAATTCTCAAATAATTCTTTCTTTTCATATTTATTTTATCTTTTCATATTTATTTTTAATTATGTATCATCATCTTTGCATGGTAATTTTGAGTAACAAAAACATATAAAATTAATGATATGAATATAAATAGTATTTTCTATTATTTAAATTTGCTTTTTGATAATTGTAGTTTTTTTAAATTTGTTATTCAAATGATTATTAAAATACTTTTAGAAAGCGATGTTAACAAGTAATGAAATGGAATTGTCGCGTCTTAGAGCTCAAATAAAGTCTTTCCAAGAAGAGTTAGGTACAGAAATATTATCTCAACTCACTCGTGAGGACCAGGAAGAAGTATATTGCTTTTTGTATTTTTATCAGTTTAAAATAGACTTAACTTGTAAAATTTAATTATTTGCAATTGATAATTTAAAAAAAAAAAAAAACTATTTTTAGGTTGAAAATCTCAACTCTGAAATTATGCAGTTAAAAAATGAAATCAAATCCGTTCTCAAAGACCGAACTATTGTAAGGTTTATTATTTTTTGATTATTTTTGCTGTAAATATAATCAAAGCACATTATATTCAATTGATAAAATAACTGTTAGTGTTTGACTTTGACTGTCATTAACAGATATTTTTATATTCTGCAATTCTGTATATAAATAATAAATGTTAAACATGGATTTCAAATAACATAATAACATTACCAGTAATATATATAAGCATCTATCAATTAAAAATTAATATTAATTTATGATTAAATACTAGTGTAAAATTTTTATTTTATAATATTTAAAAGAGAACAATAGTTTTCTTATATTATTTAATTAAATTTATACAAATATTACACTAACTTTGATAGTATGTATAATTTTAAATATTGTTCTCTTATGTCTCAAATCTTAAATATTGAATTTAGCACTACAGATTTTATGTTTGTTCCCATGAACATTCCTTCATACGAAAATCAAACATTGTATAAATAAGACTTTTTGTGTAATAAAGCATGACTGTGTAATAATTGTGTAATAAAAAATGACTGAAAGGAACTATTTGCGTGCCAATCATTACAACTAATAAGATATTTAAAAAATTTTTAATGTTTTAAAATTAGGAATAAAATCACTAAATAACTTATTATTTAATAACTAATAAGTAATAATATGTTAACATTAATTAACATTAACAACAGTTTTGTCGTAATATTAATTTTAATTATTAAAACTTATCTGTTAAATCTAATCAACACCAAAACATTTAACATTAATTACTAATTATTAACCTACCTCTATATATACTTTTACAGATAATACTGCTAACACATATAAAGCTGTTTGCCATGAAACACTGCCTAGGCAGCTGTTGTTTCAAATTTTTAAAACATTGGTTGCAATAATAAATACTTGTTATTTAGTTAGAAGGTACGAAACAAAATATTGAAGATTTGTTATCTTCAAATCTATATAAAAGAAGGGATGAACTGCAAATGGTAAGTTTATTATAAAAACAGTTTTAATTATTTTTTTGCATATAAAATAATATTGCTTTTAACATCTAAGTAAAAAGCCAAAAGTTATCTTCATTTGAAAATGAAGATAACTTTTGGCTTTTACCCTGATCTTTTAAATCTTTAGAAACCTTTAGTCGAAAAACTTTACAAAATTTTATTAACACAGTAGCATGCGAAATTAACAAGCACATTAGTTGAAATAACTTTTGAATAAAAAGTCCAATTTCTTTCAAATTTTGACTGAAATGTCAAAAAATTGATTGCAAATCTAAAAACAAATTTTTTACTATATCTAAGCAACTTAATCGTAAAATTTAATTTTATTGCATGCAAAATACCCGGTTAGAAAAAAAAAATACTTTAAAGTAAATTGCTTTAATACCTCATCAGAAAGCCCTTTGCATTGATGACTGCTTGACAGTGACAAGGTATTGAGTTCACTAGGTTCATAATCACATCTATGTCCATTTTTTCCCATTCTTATTTCAGAATTTTAAATAAATCACATTAACTTGTTACTTTTTGACCTGATATTTGTCAATCAAGTGTTCCCATAGTTGTTCAATAGGAATAAGGTCAGGGCTTTCTGAAGGCCATTCCATTAAACGAGTTTTTTTGGTCTTGAAAAAGTTTTTCACAATTGTTGAAGTGTGCTTTAGGTCATTGTCCTGCTGAAATATCCATCCTCTAGGCGTTTTGTCTTTAGTATGTGGTAGTATAACATCCTTAAAGATATCATTGTACATATTTTTGTGCATTATGCCATCAATCAAATTGATAGAACCAATACAATCTTTATTGAAGCAACCCCAGACCATAATGTTTCCACCTCTATGTTTTACTGTTACTATAGTATGTTGGTACTACAGTTTCACTGGCAGATATTTGTGTTGATTCTATCTATCTCAAGGATTTTTCCTCTTTGCCTGAAAATCATGGAAAATGATAGGTTTCCATTTATAATGAGTAATGGTTTAAGTACTTAAGTTAAAAATGGTTTTGTAAAAGTTTACAACGTTAACCCTAACCCTGACAAGGTTGCTTTTCTCAAAGACTTTGTTATCAGCAACAACTTTAAGACGTGATTTAGAATAGTTTTTGATTTAAAAAAATGTTTATGTAAATAAGAATCTTTTTGTAAATTAAGTAAGAAGTTTTGTCATTTGTTATATTATATATTTTGTTGCAGATATTTCAATTATTAAATGCTTTTTTTCTACCATAAACATTATGGTAAACAAACTAAAATATATAATCTTTATACTACTAAACACAATAAGAAAAAAAATTTATTAATAATGCAGAAGTTTGCAAGTTTGCAACTGGTTCAAAATTACACAATAATAATGATATAACAATTACATGATAAATACAACAGTTACATGACTGATGCAACTGTTACACGACCAGTGCAACAGTTACATGGCTGGTTCAACAGTTATGCAAATAATACAACATACACAACATGTTAATTAGTTTCAATTATTATATATAATTATATATTTTTTATTTATATATATTATATGTTTGAATTAATTATCTGTTATAAAACATATAATTAATTCAAACATATAATATATGTTTGAACAAATTTTATTTTAATAAAATAAATATTTTATATTTTATTTTTGCTATTTTATTATTATTAAATTTTATTTTATTTTATAATTTTATTAATGTTTTATTTTAGTTCTTATGTCTGTTTAGAGACTAGATGATGCTGGTATGGAAGGAAAAAATGAGCAATTAAAAATGAAAGTCTCTGAGTTTAATACATGTGTATCCTGGTTAGAAAAGTCGTCTCTTCGAATTAAAGGTAATTACTTTTTTTGCTGTTAACAAAATTTATTTTGGTTATTTTATATTGTTTTTTTTTTATATTTATTTTTATATTTATTTTTATTTTATATTAGTTAGTTTATTCATTTGCATTATATTGACTTCATATAAATATGTAGCCAATTAGATAAAACATATAATTAATTCATTTGTACTAATTCTGGTGAAAATTAAAAATTCTGTATGCAATGCTTACAGAATTTTTTAATATAAAATCTTTTTTCTTTAGATGTTGAAACAGAGATATCCTCATATCAAAAAAAAATTAAAGCACTTCAAGTATCACTGGAAGAATGGAGGGTATAGCAATATATCTTTGTGTGTGTGCATATATATTTATATGCATGTGTGTGCGTGTATATGTATTTGAGAGTAATAGTATAAACTCTTTTGCAACAGCAGGCTATAAGATAGTTTATGTATGTACTGAAGCCCTGAAGGAAAAAAATTTAAGTACTGAGATTAAAGTTGTTTTTTAAATTAAATTATCAACGCTTTTTTAATTTAAACTCCATTTTTAAACAAAAAGCAGAATATTTTAATATTTTTACAAAATAAAAAATTAAATGTTTAAAAACCTATTGACGTTAAAAAGTATTTACAATTTACACTACACATTAATCACTAAAGTAGAACTTTATAACAAAATTTATAGTTATATTCAGTTTTTTCTCCATTTTGTTATAGACAATTGAAAAAGAAAAAAGAGCAGCAGTTGAAGAAGATTCAAAATTAATGGAGAAACTTGCAAGCAAGAGAAGCATTTTGCTAAAAAAGGTTCATACTTTAATTTGCGCATTATTGATTTAATTTATCATGGTATAAAATATAATATAAGAAATAAAATGGTATAATATTACAACAGTTATGACATGATTGTTTGACTCTCATCTGTTTAGTTTTGCATTAAAAGAATTGACTGAACAAATTAATTGTTGACCATTTTAACAAATGTCAGCATCAGTTTTTTGCTGTCTTGTATCATATTTTTTTAGATAACCCAGTCAATGTTCATAGCATAAATTATTGATTAATGGTATTAATTTAGCTGTATGACATATGAACTATTGGTAAGACCACCAACCAATTTTCTTCAACAAGATTGGCTACACACAGTGATGCTATCCACTTCCTCCTTTTAATAATAAATAATAGTTGTTGAAAGTGAGTACAATGAAAGCATATGTTCAAAGCAAGTGTTCAAAGACGGCCTGTTGAAACTATTTGACCTTGCCAAAAAGAATGCTTTAAACATCATGATAAACAATGAAGACAGACAATTTTTAACTTTGAAGAGAGGTGTTACAAGCCCAAGTATTGATGGAGTCGATCATAATATTGCAAAGAAATAGAGGGAAAAAAGAGAGATATTGCAGAGAAATAGAGGGAAAGAGAGCTTGTATAGAAAATAGAGAAAGAGAGCTTGTATAGAAGCTAATGAAAATTGAAAGCTTAAATAGGCAGAAATGCTGCAGCAAATAGAAACGTTTGCTGCAGCATTTCTGCCTATTTAATTTCTGCCATCTGCTCGAAGATGGAGACTTCAGAGTTCCATTATCATCATCTGCTCAAATTCCGTCTAACTTATTTTACCATTTTACCTTAAGCTTAAAGAGCTGAAAATTATGATAACTATTCCAGAAATTTAAGGGGCTTTTCATGGAGTGAATCAACCTGATTGTGGATCTATGTATGTTGTTGCATCAGTAGCAAAAGCTTTATCCTCTTTATCCTCTTGCCAACCTGGCACTGCCTATCCTTAAAAAAGTACTAAGCAGAGACTATATGTGAAATAATTATTTCACATTAATTAGTTTGCCATAATTATCTACAGTTATTTTTATTGTTTTCCATTTATGATTCAGCCAGCAACTTTTTGCTGGTTTAAGATTTTTACCAAGGTTCTGAAAAAACATTCAATTCTTGTGAATGTTGGGCAATTTTATTAAGACAATGTAACTTTAGTAAGAAGCTTTCACATTTTGCAAATTCAGTTTATTTTTCCAAAGCTTCTTTAAGTGGGAGCTTGAGGCAATCGTTGAAACAATGTGTTACTTAAAGCCATGAAGATTTTTTTTTAATTAAGCTAGAAGCTTTACTAAATAAACCTGAGTGAACACCAATATTTACACTCCATCTATGTTTAACACTAATAATTTTTTAGTCATGTCAGTTATTCTAACTCTTGCAAATGCTTGTTCAAGACATTTTCATGCATTAAAAAAAGTTTAATGCATAGAGGGCAGTCCATGTATTAAAAAAAATTTAATGCATGGACTGTCCTCAAATAAAAACAGTACATACACTAATTTTTGTTTCTGTCTGAACAAGAATTAGTTACAATATCATAACTGCCGTCACTTAAAATTGAGTAATATCTCAACTTTATAAAATCATCTTTAAAACAACCTTTAGCAATTTGGTCAATGTAATCTGTAAAAATACCAGCGGTTCGATTACTTAAGTTACTTTTACCAAAATAAACATCATTTTTTTTAATTAACTTTAGCAAATCAGGAAAATTAGAAAATGAGCCAAGTAGTAAACTGCGTTAAATTTCTTCTTAAGTGAATCACAATCTTTTTTGCTTATTTTTTGCGATTCTTTTCTAATAACAGTGTTTTTATTAATATATTTTTATAACCTTAATGATGCCATATTTTTTAATATATAGCTCACTTTATCTACTACGCTTCTAATTTAATATATTAGAATTTCTTTCAAGCCTTTTCAATTTGCTTAAAATGATTGTAAATTGGAACATAGTTTTGCCATCTCAAAGCCATAGTTATGCAATAATTTTATATATTCTTTAACCCGATTTCAGCAGATTTGCAGACTAATTATTATTACTCTCTAGTGTCGATAAAAAATTAAAATAATAAAATATTCCACGCTGGAATATTCTGGCAGTGTTATGTGTTATAAGCGTTATAAACAATATTATATATATATTGTTTTTTTAATATATATATCTTTGTTTTTTTTGGTATCATTAGTATAATTTGAGTGGGAGGGTCAGAGATGTCATCTCTGACCACTGGTACTAGTTAAAACATTTCTATATTTTATTATAGAAAAGATTATAAAATCAGCGATTGCTATCTAACTAAATTTATCCACTCTTATTTGTAAAGTTTCATGTTTCTAGTTTCTACTTCTCAAAAAATGCGCGTTCATTTCAAAATCAACCAATGAAAATTATAATGAAGTTAAAGCTGCCGTACTGCTAGTGTCAATGTTTTCTTGTAAAGTGTTTACAAATATATTTGTAAACACTTTTCAAGTTTGTAATGTGATAAAGACGGTGGTTTGATGTACCTTAGATGTAGCTGATATTCAATGTACTTTATTTAACATATTTTTTTTTATTTCCTTAATTTTTGTCATCATAACATCAGGTATTTGAATCCTGTGTTTGTATTTTTTTTCTATGTATTTGTATTTACCTAGCTAGGTAAATGCATAATACAGGTGATTATAGCTGTTAATCTAACTAAATTAACATCTGTTTCATACAAGTAATATTTTAAACATGTAAGTTATGAGTCTAAGTGAAATTAGTTATATTTAATTTTTAAGATTCATAAAAACTTTGTTCACTGTTTTTCAAGAAACTAAAAATTTAAAGACCAGATATATTCCCGGATTTTTCAATTTGCAATCACTTTAATTGTTAATAATTATAAAATGGATTTATTTTAGGTTTATAAAATGTATTTATGATGATTGAAGTAGGATTTTTTAATTTATCAGGATTTTATTTTAAAAATAGAAAGAGGAATGTGCCAAGAAAATACGTGAACTTGGAAGTTTGCCAGCAGATGCATTTGAAAAGCATCACAAAACAGGAACCAAGCAAGTAAGACAACGAAATAAATTAAAATGTTTAAATGTTTAATCATGTTGTATTTATTTGTATTCGATTTATAATTTAAATATAAAAATTTTTAACAATCTTTTAATAATATAATAAAAAAAAAAATTTAATAATTTTTTTTCAAAATCTTTTTTTACTTTTGTTTTTCTTTTTTAAATAAAATAATTTAATATCATTTTACTTTTATAAGCTTTGGAACAAGTTAAAAATAGCCAACGACGAGTTAAAAAAGTACAGTCATGTGAACAAAAAAGCATTAGATCAATTTATAAGTTTTTCAGAACAAAAAGAAAAGTTGATAAAGAGGAAAGAAGAACTTGTAAGAGGTCATGAAGCAATTTTAGATTTAATGGATGTTCTTGAACAAAGAAAACATGAAGCTATATTAAATACATTTAAGCAGGTTTTTTTTTTTTTTTTTTTTTTTGTACTTGGAAACTTATTAATAATTTTTTTTTTTAATAATTTGGTACACTTGCTGCTACACTTTCAGTCAGTCTTCAAAATTTAATAATTTTTAATGAGGGTACTGCTTTAAAACTCAACTAGATGGTTCTTAAACTGGCTTTTATTAACTTTCTTAACTCTGCAGCAGCACTCAGAAAGGATAATTTCATCATCAGTTGTAAAATGTTAGAGTATTGACAGTGGTATGTAGCACATAGATGGTGTGCTGTTAGTCTTTTTTGCATGTGTTGCAGAGACCACATAATGAGTGATTTCTTACAATTATAGCTTGATAAGCAAGAATGAGGTAGTCTGTTGCCTAAGTTGTCAAGTATTATCTATGATTGAGGTTTTTCTAATAACTTCATGGTTATAATATCAAAAATTACTAAACATACAAAATCATTGTCATTGAATTATTTCGATCTTTCTTTTATAAATATTTGTGTTCTTTAAAGACATCTTTTGCCAAATTCACCAGTCTTAATTGCTCTATGTGAATTTAGTTTTAGCTATTCCATCTTCAAATATCAATGTTGACTTTCATCTTCAAATATCAGTGTTGACTTTCATCTTCAAATATCAATGTTGACTTTAATTTTCAAATATCAGTGTTGACTTTCATCTTCAAATATCAATGTTGACTTTCATCTTCAAATATCAATGTTGACTTTCATTTTCAAATATCAATGTTGACTTTCATCTTCAAATATCAATGTTGACTTTCATCTTCAAATATCAATGTTGACTTTCATCTTCAAATATCAATGTTGACTTTCATCTTCAAATATCAATGTTGACTTTAATTTTCAAATATCAATGTTGACTTTCATCTTCAAATATCAATTTTGACTTTTTTCAGTTTCCTCATCAGAATCTGAACTTTCAGAATCTGATACTTTACTGACTGGGTTATTAACTGCAGACACTTTTTTGTTAAAAGTGCCTATTACAGCCAAATGAATAGCATGATTAAAGCAAAATTGGTTTTCAATTTCATTTAATCGTGCATATTTTTTCATAATGCTACCTCCATCTGGTGTCGATGCAATTATGACTAAATTGAATACCATACTCCATCAGTTTTTGTTCAACTAATGACTGAACTTTGTATGAATCATATGAGCCTTGTTAATAAGTCCAATTTTATAACAATCTTCCATTGTTCTTTGTATGAAATTTAACATACTTGTTTTTGCTTTTTTCTGTGTTGGCTGATTAAACTGAGTGGAAGAAGGCTCTTTATTTTTATTCAAATCAATCTTATATTTTGCTTAAAGATGATTTTCTAAATTTAATGTACTCCCACCTGCACACTTTGCAACAGTATGGCATATGTTTCTTTTTGAAACATTTGCCATACTCCTGATTTTTTCATACTTAAGCTAAAATAAAGTTGTTTTTTTGTTAATTATTAAACATTAATTTTTATCAATGTGCTGTAACAATAATATCTTTTTTTATTCATTATTAATTTAGTTCGAGTCTAATAAACTTGTATCAGCTTCTTTCTTTCAAGCCTCTTTTTTCTTTCCAATTATGCATATAATTGTTTACTAAATATGTAAAACGTGTGTGACCATTCGGCGAATTTTATATGCCAAAGTTTTTAAATAATATAATTGTTTACTAATGTATCAATATACTATGATTATAATATTTAAAGTAATAAAAGGTTACTAAAATAAATTTGTTGACAAAAAATTTTATTTTTGTTGTTTCGTAATTTTAATTTAGATTGCTATTTAACAAGCTTAAATTAAATAAAACAAAAAAAAAAACAATAACAAAAAATTAAACAACAAAAGTTCACAAAATACTTTAAGTATGTCAAAATATTGCAATATCCTTGCAATTTTTAAAAATATATTTGTTTGTGCTTTCCACGTTACTCCTTAGCTGGTCAAAGCAAGAAATTTTCAAATGGTTTACCTATTTGTCAATGTAAAATTAACGACTGTTTTTTTTTTATGAAAAAAAAAATAAAAAACGATTTACCGGTTGCGGTTCCACTCGTTGCCAAGCCCTAGTTCATACACCTTCGGTGAATCAGTTATTACTAGCCCATTCAATTTTTTATCTGCATTTTGTATATTGTATGTATAAACTAATGTTAATATCCAAGTATTTTGATTTGTGCTTTAAAGAAGTGAATGTAATAAACAAAACAACCCATAAAAAATTTAGTTAAAGATAAATTTTTTGAAATAGTTTTATTTTATTAAGGTTTTTTTTTTTTTTTTTTTCTCACATTTGTTGTAAAATATGAATTTTACAAATGTTCATATTGCTTTTATTTTCATGTATATATATATATATATATATATATATATATACACACACATGCACGCACGCACACATATTGTCATATTGTTAGATTGTTGTCATGAACATTAGTGTAGGTAAGTTACAGAAAACCTAATAAATTATATAACTTTGTAACTATAGCAGTGACTTGGTTGGTATTACAATGTGTTAATTCAAATCACCAATTTAAAAAAAAACTGTTTAACAACTGTGAGAAATGAATGCAAACTAATTAGTTAGAAGAAAAAAAAACAAGTATTAATGTAAAACCGCAAAAAAAAATAATTATATCAGTAAAAAATAATTTATTTGATTTTTGTTCATCTTTTATTCTTTTAAATTTTTTGTTTTATTTTAAAGGTTTCACAAAACTTTAGCGAAATTTTTAAACAATTAGTGCGAGGTGGGAAAGCTCAATTAATTATGAAAAAAGAATTAAGAGAAGAAGAAGAACATTCTCATTCTCAGTCTGATTCTTCGAGTCAAAGATCTATGAAAAATTATGACGAGTTTAGTGGCGTTTCAATTAAGGTAGACTTTATATATATAGGTAGTTTTTATATACTTTATTCTTTCTTGAACTTTTTTTTCTTTCAATATATTATAAATTTTTACTGAAAGTTTTTTTTATATAAAAACATTTTGAAGTTAAAAATGATTTTAAAAACATTTAAAAACAAATGATTTTAGGTTTCATTTACTGGAAAGAGTGCTGAGACTTTAGAAATGAATCAACTTTCTGGTGGTCAAAAAACCTTGGTTGCACTAACTCTGATATTCGCCATACAAAAGTGTGACCCAGCCCCTTTTTATTTATTCGACGAAATCGATCAAGCTCTTGATCCTACATACAGAAAAGAAGTAGCAGGTTTTATGTTGTTGTGCTTTTTAATAAATGTTTTTTTATAAGGTTTTTATAAATTGTTATATTTTACTGTTGTTGTTTTTTAGAATGTAGTATAAATTAATTTTATTTATAATTGTGAATAAAACAGAAAATCAATCAAACAAAATAAAAACTTCATTAAATTTTTAAATTTAAGTATAAGTATGATTTGTTACTGTCTGTTTTTTAAAAATATTGACAATTTTTTTTATTTTAATTTGCTCCTAACAAGGCTGCAAGCAATCACTATTAAGTTGGGAGTTACTAAATAGAGCAACCACTATTAAGTTGGAAGTTTACTAAAAAATAAACTATTGAGATAAAGAGCAAGTAAACAGTTAACAGAAGACTTGAAAAATTGTAAGTTGTATGAATCAGGAAAACATAAAAATAAGAGTTTCAAAGGGTTGAAGTGCTGGGGCAAAAACTAGGTGAGTTAAAGTTTATAAAGCATGCAGGAACAGATACAGTTAAAAAATGTGGCTTTGCTGAATGATGAGCCAATCAAGAATGCGTTTTGATTGATGCAACTAAAGATAATAGCCCTTTGAGCAGCAATCATGATAGTATTTGTAGAAAAGTAAAAAAAAAAGATACAACCTTGTGACAATCGGAAAGAGGCTCAAGCTTGGCTGATAAAGCAGGTCCAACAGCAGGTCCAACTACATTTACAATGCATTTTTGGGCCTTGTTTAAAAGATATAAATAAGAAATTTGTAGAGATGGAAAATGGAATCAGAAGTAAGATAATGGAGAGTAACTTAAAAGAAACTTTAGCAGATGCTAATTTTGTAACGATAAGATAAATGTTTCCATAAGAGGTCAGTAGTGAATGATAATCCATGAAGGCATAAAGAAAAGTTAAAGAATTGTCATTCATTGATATAAAAAATGTTGACAGTGTTGCAATAGTTGTTTACAAAAGGTCAGATTCAAAATTGGCTGTCTGTTCTAAGTGATAGAAAAGAAAAGATTTTTTTTTAAGGTAGGAGTATAAAGTTGAGTCGTCAGTAAAGATAACAGTTTTACTGTCAGAAAGATTATTAATGTAGGTAAGAAGCGAAACATGACCAAGGATAGAATCTTGAAGTACCCCAGAAGTTACTGGAAATGAAGAAGAGTGTTGGCTTTTGACTTTAATAAAGCAGTTAGGAAGAAATGATTTGTTGATCTCAAAAACTTTTACATGTACACCATATGAATCAAGCTTATGGAGAAAACCTTTAACTAATAATAGTATAAACTATAAATGAATAATTATATAATAGATTAATTAGACTAGAGTTGACAATTCTATTCGGTAAAATATTCTTATCATATCATGTGATTTCAAAAAATTATGTTAATAATTGATGGTGTTAGCTCTTTGTTAATAGTCTGTTTATAGTTTGTTTTTGGCTGGTTTTAACAAGTTATTTTATCTCATATTGTTATTTAATGTTTAATAACGAAAAACAAATTTTTGGTAATAGTATGGACTTAGTACTGCAGATGTTCTCTAAATGAATAATCACAAAAATTAAAAAGATCTTACTGAGTTACTGAGATCTTACTAATTAGAGGTTAAAATAATTTGATGATTATTGATACTAACACTTGAAACCTAAAGTGTGTTAGCATTTTTAATGTTTTTGCTACCCATGTAACAGTTTGTATGGTGTGATTACAACCTGATTTGTAATTAATGCTTGTAATCTTTTTATTGTTTCTCCTATTACATAGATTTTGGGACATTGCAGTGATACTGTGATGTTGCACCTTCACGAAAATGTTTAAATTTTTGATTGCAGTAGCTTGATTTTGGGAGTATAGGCAGTAACTTTATGAGGAAGCATACTGTTTGGTGGCGATAATGAATTTATACAATAGTAGTCACATTTAAGTTGATCTGTTTCATCTTTATAATAAACAGTTAATGGATGTATGTTTTTTGATTGGTTTGTCAGTAAAACCTTGTACAGTATCATCTACAAAAAATTACGGTTTTCTGAAAAATCCATAAAAATAAGACAATTGTGCTTGTCTAATGTTTGCTTCACCACTTCACCACTGATAAGGATTGTGCTTCTTTGATAAAATAACAAAGATCGTACAGTCTCATCTAAGGTTTTAATAAATTCAATGATGCTTTTTTTGAGACAGGTGCAGTTTGGTCTATTTATAGGTAGAACAGCAACTTTAACTTCAAGTTTTGATGGTAAGATACATGCACAAACCATGTGCTTTTCGCTTCTGTTTTACTTTCACTATCTGACACTCTACTATGAAACATCTCGTCACAATTTTCAATGTTTATAAAACAAATTTTAAATACACATTAAATTTTAAACACTAAAGTTATAATTATGTGTACATTTAAGGAAAAAAAAATCAGCAGATGCTCACTTTACAATTGGTTTTGTAAATGGTTTCCAGATCAGTAGGAAAGGTCAGTAATCAAAAATAGTCTGAGAAAGCAGAATTTAGTAAGAGTGGCCACGGCTGCATAAAAGAGAATTTAGTAAGAGTGCTTCTAATCGTCAATATAAGAATATCATTTTTTAGTATTAAATAACTGAGTTTTGGGTGGGTTTAAATTTACAAGCCTCTGCAAATAGATAAATTGATATGCAAGTATATCCTCATTCCAAGCATGTGACTATTGAAGTCTTTCCCAATCAAAGGATAATAGCAGTTAACACGAAATAAGTCGAAACAGTCAAATTCATGTTAGTCTCAGAACGAGGGTGAGTAGATCTGGTAAATTTTGAAATTTCAACAGATTTGTTACTTCGGAGTCCAATACTTGTAAATGATAAATTGGATAAATTGAAACAATTAGATGGTAATGAAATAAAAATAAAATACTTGTAAATGATAAATTGAAGCAATAAAGTAGTAATGAAATAAAAATAAAATAATAAATTGAAATGATAAATTGAAACAATTACAGGGTGGCCAGCGGTCCTTGAATACCATGAAAACTTGGAAATGTCCTTAAATTTGATAAGTCCTGGAAAAACACCCCTTTTAGCCATAAATCCTGGAAATCCTTGAACTTTTTTCTGAAATACTTTAATATTTCATTATAATGTTTTTACCTTTTGCAGAAATATTAATATTGCATAGATTTCTACTGAATTTATTAATTATGTATTTTCTGACAGCGGTTTGTTTACATTCTGACAAAAAAATTTTGTTAACTGTTACTGTCAGTATTATTAGCATCTAGCAATTATTAAAATATATATAACTAATATAATGCCTAATACAAAGAACTGTCATTTTTAAACAGAATAGCTATACAACAAAAAGTATTCTTCTTGGGTAAATTTTGTATTTCTAATTCTAAAAAAGCAAGCTATTGTTGGTGCAGAACAGATATTAATATCTCTAACATAGGAGTATCTGCCTCGGATTCTCATCCAACTGGTAAAAAGCATAAATTTAATGAAAAGACACATAATGCAGCAGATATATTCTTTACTGGTAGTTTATTAGTTTTTTATTTAAAGTCTTTTTTTACTTTTATTTAAATATGTTTTCCTGAATTTCGAAATGCTTGTAGCAAATTCATTGGCTGTGTTCTATCAGTAACTTAAATAAAAGTTCTCCTTGTTAAAAAAAAAAAACATTAAAACTGGTTACCAAGGCAGAAATAATATGGAACTTGAATGTAGTAATGTCACACATAAGATCGTGCTTAAATTTAGATCAAATATTCAAATTCTCTGATTATTCTCTGACAGCACAAATCAAAGTTTGCATTTAGTTTACCAAAGATTGAAGTAGAGAAATCAAATTACAAATTAGAAGTAGACCATATTGGCATAGGAACAGCACTGAGATGCTAAGTTTTCTTCATTGTTAACCAGAAGAGAAATTAGAATTTAAAAAATAATGTAGGCAGATTATCATAATGTTATTGCAAAATTTACAAGAAAGATAGCATCAGAAAGATCAGCACTGAGATGCTAAGTTTTCTTCATTGTTAACCAGAAGAGAAATTAGAATTTAAAAAATAATGTAGGCAGATTATCATAATGTTATTGCAAAATTTACAAGAAAGATACCCATTGAAGTATTATTTTAAGAGGAATTCTCCAAATGCAATGGTTTAAAACAAGGAAGTATCGACTCTGAAACTAAAGGGTCTTGCTGAGAGATTAAGTGCATTAAAATGGCTTTCAACTGATGATGTAGATAATGCAAAACAACAATTTGATGAACTTTTTGGTGCAGAATGTGTTCAATTTAGAGTCTTTGAAATGATAATAAATAAATTTGAGTCCTTTAATGAGTTAACTGATTCTGCTGATTAAATTTCTTGGTGTCTATTTGAACAAAAATCAAAAGTATTCAGCATTGTGAAAAGTCTGTGCTATCATTTTTGTTTTATCTCATGAGCAATAGGCAATAGAACAAGGATTTAGTGTTAACAAGCAGTTGTAAGTAGAAAATCTACAAGAAGATCTCTTGTTTCCCAAATAACAGTTTATAACCACATCAATTCCCATGACATTGTTATTCATCAGTATGAGTTTCCCAGTGTCCTTTTAAAAAGCTGAAGGTTAACATAAAATAGGTACAATTCACTGTTAAAGGAAAATAAGGATCAGTTAAAGGTAGACAAAGTAAGCAAGAAACTTAAATTGATCGATGAAGAATTTGTAATTATAAAGAAACAGAATTTTTTTTTTGAAAAATGCATCAAAGTTCTCAAAACTGATGCTGACAAGTTAAGCATTGACGCAGAAGCAAAACTTCACTATCCTTGTGAAAGCAAATTCCTTTAGAAACACAATTCTAAAAAAAGAATTGGCAATTAAAGTGTTTGATATTTCACTAAAAAACCTTGAACAATCTAAAAAAGAGATTAAATAGAAGTGTTTGATAACCTAGTGTATTTATATATATACAATGTAAAATATTTTTTAACTTGTACCCTACTATATACGACTATATTATAACATATTTATATATAAAACATTTTGAAGACAATATATTTTGTTTTTTTCTGGTCGAGAAAAGATCAATATATCCTACAAAAACCCCAAATTTTCCTTGAAAAGTCCGGGAAATATCCTGGAATTTTAAATTAGTTTTTGGCTGGCCACCCTGAATTAGGTGATAATGAATTTTTTTTATGTTTAATATTTTTAGAACCTATAGTCATATTTTTAAATTATTACAGATCTTGACCCAAAATAAAGCAAACAAACTCAAAGTGGAAAACCCGAGGTCTTGTAACAAGTGTATAGTGGACTTATGTAACAAGTGTATAGTGGTTTTATGTAACAAGTGTATTATGTCTTGTAAATTTGAATTTTAAATTAACTAGAATTAAGAAAATCTTTCTCATAAAGTTTTTTGATCAAGTTCTTGAATAATTCAAGCAGGTTGTTAGTTTTTTATTTGAATTTAAGGATATATGTTATTAAGGCATGAAGATCCATGTCACTTGCAGCTTAACTAATATAGGCTGTTACAATATAAATTGTGGCTTAAGTGACTAATATATGATATAAGTAATATTTATATAAGATTTGCGATAACATTTGTGAAGTTTTTAGAACAAGACTGAATTAGAATAAGTCACTTAAAAGTTTTTTTAAGTGACTTATTTAGCCATGGTACAAATAATTTAAAATGAATAATATATAAAAAATAAAATTTAATTTAATTATTAGAACTGTACTTTTTTTGTTTTTTTTTTATTTTAGCCATGATTCATACACTTTCTGAAAACGCGCAATTTATAACGACCACCTTTCGTCCTGAACTACTCGAACATGCAGAAAAGTTCTATGGCGTTCAGTTCAAAAATAAAGTCAGTCATATTCTTAATATAACTAAGGAAGATGCTGAAGATTTTGTAGAAGACGAAGCTCAAGAGCAAGCTAGGAAAAGTGTTACTAAAGAGTGATAACGATAATGCTCGGTAGTGCTCAGAACCATTAATAAATGCAGTTCAAAAGAATGTAAAATACTTTTTATTTGTAAATAACTTCTATATATTGTTATTTTAGCGATATTTTATTTACAAAGTTATCATCTAAGGTCCTAACGTTACAATAGTTTTAAAATAGACTGTTTGGTACGATATTTATTGTCAATGGTATTTGAGTTATTGGTGGTGATGGTTTTAAATTTTCAAAAGTTTTTTTTTTTTTTCGAAAGTTAAAATAGAAAATAAATTTTATTACTAATATGTTGGCAAATGATAAAAGTATGTCGATAGAAACGGCAGATACCAAGGTTGACGTTTGAATAAAATTTTACGGTTATGATATTCGGGTTTGTTGTTGTATTGAACGATAGGGTATTAAATAGGAAAGTTTAGTGATTAAGTAGGAGAGTAGTTTAGGGTTAGGGTATTAGGTAGGAAAGTAGTTAAGGGTATTAGGTAGGAAAGTAGTTTAGGGTTAGGGTATTAGGTAAGAGAGTAGTTTAGGGTTAGGGTATTAGGTAGGAGAGTAGTTTAGGGTTAAGGTATTAGGTAGGAAAGTTTAATTCTCAAAAAAAGCTTAGGATTTAAGAGATCTTTAAAAGATTCAAGAAATTAGGCACTGCTATTTTTTTAGAGGTTTTCAGATTTTTGAACCTCTATCCAAAATCCACAACCATGCCTTTGTCAGAGAGATTTCAAATAATTCGCGTCGACATAACTTCTTACCTAATAGAATTGCATCCCAATGGAATGCCTTGTCTTAGCTATTCGAGTATAAATATCTACCATAATCGAAAATGGAGGCCGCTGGATACTTTAGCAAGTTGAACAGTTTCTTCTGGAGATGATTCTTTATTGGAAATAACTCAAGATACTATTTGTTTGGATTTCCCTAATCTTAATTTTAAAAAATTGGAAAAGAAAAAAATTTTCCTAATAGGCTGAGGCATGTGCTGCAACGCACGCTTGGTTCTTTCTCTATGGAGGTTAGCTCTTCAAGAGGATGTTTTTCTTAAAGTTTTGAACAACCTATTTGGCAAATTAGGTAACTTATCGTGCCTCTTGTTTCAGGTCTCATTTGTATTTACTTTAAAAAAAAAAAAAAAGCTTCTTTACCCTTCTTGTTTCCTACGCAAAGTAGTTCCACACGATTTTCAAAATCCTTTTGGTACCTGAGAATTACAGATAATTGGTCTTGGTCTTGTACAGTTACAATATTTGTTCTGTCTGGAAAATAGTGAGCTGAATTAAAATTTTTTTCAGACAGACCAAGCACACAAACATTCAATTTTCATGATGACTTATTGCTTGATTAGCAATTCACTAAATCTAACTTCACTAAATCAAACTCTGCCTTCTACAAAATTTAACCTAAATTAATACTGAAAGCAATACACTTAACATACTTACAAGTATTAAAAATAAAATTGTAATAAAATAAATGAAATATTTATTTAAATTACAAGGAAATAATTCTTGAAGAAATCTCTCTCTAAAAGAAAATAATTTCTTAAATTATACCTGTCACACTTAATGGCCTTACTCGCTCTTTGTGAGACTAGTTTAAGTTCTGCTATCCATCTTGTGATCTTAGTATTTATGGTTATTCCTCTTTAATTTGTAATGACTCAAAAAGTAACATGCTTGGCCTGGGCATTTAAATTCATAAGAATTTAAATGCAGGCCAAGAATTTAAATGCCCAGGCCATTTCAGTGAGGAAACACCCATTTGTGTTTCCTCACTGAAGTCAAGCCTCTTTCTTCCATGGTTTTCCTCTAGTTGTACTGCTGCAATTTCTAGATCTAGTTAATCCATTGCTTGAGAGCAATCTGACTTGTCTAACTACTGTCCCATTAGTCTTCTTCGTTTTAGTGACGATGCCATTAGCGTTGTGCTGGTTCATCAAGTAAACGTGCGAGGAGGCGTTGTTTTTGCTGAAATGCATAACCTTACACTTCTTGATGTTGAGCTCCATCAACCAGGTTCAAGTGATGTTGCTTTCTATATCGGGTTACAGACAAGCTTTGTATTCAGCGACTTTGACAACACTTAGGATTTTAGTATCGTCTGCATGCATTTTACATAAGTTTTTGCCACTGATGTATTCCGGTAAGTCGTTAATAAATATTATGAACAGCGTAGGACCTTGCACTAAACCTTGCGGAACGCCACTGGTAACTTTTACGCAGGTGGATAACTGAAAGCACTTATCCAGTTTAGAATGTTACCTTCAATTCCGTAGGATTGAAGTTTTTGCAGTAATCTTCTGTGGGAGACATTATCGAAGGCTTTGCTGAGGTCAAGAAAAAGCACGTCTACTAGAACCTCGCGAGAAACGCTGTAGGTAAGAAAGTCCATGGCCTCAAGTAGATTTGTAAAGCAGGCTTTTTATTGACGAAGCCGTGTTGACAATTGATAATAATTTTATGGGCTACAAGGTGCTGCATAATCTTTTCTTTAAACTTTTTTTTTTCATTTATTTGCATGGTACAGAATTGATGGAGATGGGTCTGTAGTTTTCTGGGTCGAGCCTGGAAATTTTTCGAACAGTGGCGTTACGTTTACCGAAACCAAGCTTTTGGAATTTACACTTTTTTTATTTACTAATTATTTTAGGTGCCTCAAGAAATTCTTACAATCTTATCACAGAGCACCGCGGAAGAGCATTTGATAGGAAGTTCAACCAATCGTTATCGCAATAGTATAGATCTTCCTATATTAAAAAACGGTAATGTATTCGATATAATGTAATCTACCCTTCGTCTCTTAGAGTTAACTCTTAATTTCTTCAAAACCATATATCAAATCCATTGCAAAATTAGCATCAGCTAAGGTTGCATGTCTTTTTTGTGCTCGCAACTTTTTTACTGTTGATTCTATTTTTTTTCTCTATAAATCTCTAACCTGTTCTTGTATCTATTATTGTATCCATATCTGGAGCAGGTGATTCCTCGAATGATGCCCTCTCTCTTTTAGACAAGGTGCAAAAACGCATTGTAAATTTAATTGGACCTGCTCTTGTAGCTAACCTTCAACCATTATCACATCGTCGTAATGCTACTTTTTTTTTGTCTTCTCTATAAATACTATAATGAACGCTGCTCTAAAGTCTCTTGGTACTCTACTATCTACTAAGTTTCATTCTCGTGTTACTCGTTCATGTTCGTGTTACTCATTGAGTTAAGTCTCATCCTTTAACTGTGACTGTTCCTAAAATGTGATCCAAAAAATTTTTTAAAGGACTATTTTACCTCGAACATCATTTCTCTCCCTTCTTATTGTTTTCTTGATTCATATAATTTGCAATCTTTAAGTTGTCTATTAATCGTTATCTTGCATTATAAACTTAATCTCTTCTCTTCCAGTAACTTCCAACTCTAATAGTAGTTGTTTGCAACTTTATTGGAAGTAAAGATTTTTTTTTTTTAAAGTTCTGCTGACGTGACAAATATGTTGAAAGGTGTTTTGTCAAGGGTGTTAAATCTAGAAAAAACTGCATGCAACAAATTGATCAGAGATTTGTGTTTTTTGGCCGTTAACAACGGTACCAATGAAAACAAAACCTATGACAGTGCTGCAAATTGGGATAATTTTCTTTTAATCAAGTCAATTTTATTGTTAGTTCTTCGATGCCATTTGATTTTATCTTTTTGTTGCATTTGCAAGTTGATTTTCACACTTTTTTTTTTTGTTGTTGTTGATATATTTGCCGTTAGTTAAAATAACAAAAAGAAATTACAATTAAATAAAAAACCTGGCAGGAACAAGAAAAAGACAAAATGTCTTATCGCAAATTGTCTTATAGTTGCACTTGTTTTTTGTAAATATCTTAAATATTTACATGCAAAATAAATAATCAATACAATAGTATATACACAAATAAGGTTTCAAAAAAAAAATGTTTAAAATGAAAAATAAAAATTTTTAACAACAGTATTTCAACAGAATAATTGAGAAAATAAAATGAAACAAAAGATAGGTAACGAAGAAGTTATCAATCCACAAAAATGGCGAAGTGTTTTATTATAAATAATGAAATATAACTAAATATTTATTGCAAATTATTTAATATCAACAAAAGCATAACAAAAATTCAACAAAAACAAACAAAATTAAAAAGTTAAAGAAATGTACTAAAAAAGTGAAAAAAATGTAGTACAGATTTAAAATAATTTTTTGATTCAAACAATTAAATAATTCTCAAAATATGTATTTGAAATCTAGTATATCGAAGTCCATATCAATCGTGCAGTTTAAGAGGAATTCTAGTTTATCATTAAAAATGCGAAGAAAATTTTTCCAAACAAAAGGTACCACGATATTGAATATGGTAAGAACTTATTTTAAGATGGGTTACGGAATAACAAAGTTATTTTCTGAAAATTTAGTAGGATATTTATGAGAAACTTCATTAAAGTAAGATTGAAATGTTACTGGCGTTAATCTACGCCAAAATAGACTTTGCTAGTCTATTTTCTTTATAATGCAGAAAACCACAAAGAACTTTCGTCAACTCATACGCCGGTGCTAAACTCTTTGAATACTTTTTAGAAAATTCAAACACATTTTCTACATTAAAGCGAGTAACGTCATGCTAATATTTAAAATCAGCTTTGTTAACAGAAGGAAGACAGAATTTTACTTTTAAATTAAACAAGTTTTATATTTCACAAACAATTTTTATCAATAATTTTTATATGAAAAATTAATTAAACAACTTATCATATTCTCTCTTCCAAACTCTTGAGCAAGTATAGTTTTATAAACTCATTATAAGCTGCACGAGCATTGTTTATAGAACCGAGAAACTTTAAATATTCCATTTAGGGGGGTAAAAAGAGCGACCACGCCTGGTTTATCTTTAGCGCTGTACATATATTTTTAATAGCGTTATTGAGCCAACCCAATACCGGTATTTCGGTACTTGAAAAGGTCCAGTAATACCAGTATCAATTCTACCGTTATTAGCTGCACTAATCAAGATAGACCTAAGAATACATTCATGAACAAAAATATTTTTAAAAAGCCAAATAACAGACTTATTCACTATAAGAAAGTACGCGATCATAGTTATTATAAAAATTCAAAATAAAATTGTTTCTGAACACCCCTAATATAGAGTTTGCTTGTCATAAATACACTAACACAAAATTGATCATGCCTCTTAAGATCCATTTTAGCTTCTGTTAAATTATACATAAAACATATATACATATAACTAGAAAAAAATAATATCAACAATCAATTAAATCAACAATCATCGTTATATTCATAAAGAAAGTGAAAAAAAGTCAGAAGTTTAACGCGACAAAATAATATACATTCTTCGAAGATATATTATTTTATCGACATATAGATATATTATTTTATGCTAATAATAAAACAATAAATATTTCAAACCTTGGAATTAGGAAAAATGAGGTCGGTAATAATTTGCTGAGTACAATCTTTTAAAAGTCGGCAAAAATTATTTGATATAAAGGTCTGACCATAAAAAATAGAAACAAGGTCGGCAATTTTTTGCCGACCTAAAACACTTTCAGGACGGCAGTTAGGTCGGCATTGCCGAATGCCGACCCTAATTCCGAGGGTTGATATTTATATAACAAAATTAACTTGGGAACTATATAAAAATGTTTAAAAATTGTATTTTCAATAAAGTAATTAAAAAAAAAAAACACAAAATTCTATAACACAATTTTTAAAAAACTCATTACAAGTAACATAATTTTCATCTACAGATCTCTTGTAACATGTACTTTTTCAAGTATAATCTTAGTTTTAGGTTTAACATTGGATTTTGGCTTACAGTATGTTTAACAAGCTAAATTATTGCAGACGTTCAACTATCAAATCCAAAGACACTGTCAGCATCAAACCAAGATAAATTTTGTTCGGCACTGGAATTTTTCATTTTTGCTGCGACCCTTTTTGCTTTGTTTTTGAAAGAAGACTTATTTATATCAGATTGCAACCTGGCTTGAGAGTTAAACAACTGTTTTGTTTTATTAACAACATTGAAATGAGCTTCAATTAGAGTATCGACATTAGGTGATTTTGTTTCTCCTAACTTCTTGTAATCTGAATTTTTTTTTAAAACGTTTGCATCAGTCCTATTTTCGCATCGGAGTTGCTGCACTAAACAAGGATTCGGCGAATATCTAAAATAAAAATAATTCTACAAAAAAATAAAAAAATAAAAAAACTCTAAGATTTTTAAATTTCAACTTCTTATAGAAATTTCTACAGCCCAATTCAATAATATCATCGGACACCATCGACGATAATCCATCAATGTACTATTTGTTTTAATTTTCTGGAATTTTAATTCTGTTCTGAACTTAAATTTTAATAAAACTATTTAATAATATTGTTTAAGTAGAGTTAATATTCTAAACAATGTCATTGAGTACATTTGTGCCATTTACAATTTAAAATTTTCTACCAAATAAATGCTGATCAAAATTACATTAATTACAGTTTCCACGTAATAATTTTTGAATTATAAAACAAATATATCTGGATATCTGAATAAAAAAAATCTAAATATTTTTATCATAATTTAATAAATATACCATTATATTGAATTAAAATACAAAAATTCTAAACATAGTGTAGTTGGCGGGTATTGTTATATCACTGCACATCACAATTGATAGGTAGTGCATATAACACTGTCAATTGCATATAACACTGTCAATTGTGTATAGAAATACAAACTTTGTATTTCTATACACAATTCCACTGTTAAATCTTCACAAGACTTTAATTGAAAAATAATTAAATGCACATTATTTCCAAAATATTTGGCAAACTAAATATAATCTATTAAACCAAAATTAGTTAGCCACAATATGCATAAACTGAAGTACAACTAAAAAAAGTATAAAAATTGAAATAGAAACAGACAAACTGTAAGATTAAGAAAAGGGATTCTATTTCAATTGGAGGAGCCAAAAATATCTATGAAAATTATACAAATAATGGCATGTGTAATACTTTCTATGGTGAAGAAAACCAGTTATAAATGGCATTAAACTTGTTTAAGCAAAAAGTTACTTCCAACCAAGAAAAATCTGCATTGGGAATGAAAAAGGATTTTGTTTTAAATGAGTTTGAGTCAACTTTACAAAGAAAACTACAACTAATTGTTTTGAAAAATTTTGTAGCAAAATAACGACCAAAGATTAACAAAGTGAACAGTAAAAAAAAGTTTTGGTTTTTCAAAAATCACACTTTAACAAGTCAGATTGATTGTTTATAAATAGAAAAAAGGTTCATACATAGAAAAATATTACAAATCTGATGATTCTAAATTTAGTATCATAAATGCTAAAAAACATATAAGAATATGCAGACCTTCATACCAATGAAAACAGAACTGCATACAAACTACTGTAAAGGATGGTGGTTGCTTATGAAAATCTCAATAATAGTGTTGCTAAATTTGGTTAGAGGTCATATATCTAAATACCCCAAAAAGAAAATCAAGTATACCTTAATTTCATTTGACTGCGTCTTTCTAAATGATGTTTTCCTTTATAATACTTTGTAATACCTAATGCAAGCTAAATCTCTAGTTTGCGGATATAAGTAAAATAGCCCGAAAAAAATGAGAACTTTTTTGCAAACCAAAGCATCATACTTAAAAGATCACAATTATTTTATTAACTTAAATGAATTTATATTGGAAGTATGCATTGGAAATAAGAGTTTTGTATTGAGACTCTTAATTCGGCAGGTATATATCTAATCAGGCTAAAATAAATTTTACCTGAAAGCTAAAACCCTAAGCTGCAAACAACAGTCCAATTTCAACTGCTTGTGTTAAAAAATGTTTTTATCCAAAATTTTAAAAATGGCTGTTTGTGCCTACAAAACCATTTTTGTGGGGAACTCTTTTACATTAATTCCACCAAAAGACAACAGGAGCTGAGGTGCATAGAATACTAGTGGAATCATACGATAGCAATGCTCTTTTAGAACAAACATCCAGAAGATGATTTTTACATTTCAAGGATGATGAATTTGACCTAGAAGATAAAGAATATCCTGAAGCTCAAAAAAAGTTTGAAGATACCGAACTGGAGGCATTACTTGATGAAGATCAATGCCAGGTACAAGAAGAGCTTGCAGAAACATTGGGAGTCAATCAGTCAACAGTTTCAAGGAAGTTGAAACAAATCGGAATGATTCAAAAGTTAGATATTGGGTGTTGTATGAGTTGAAACCAAGTGACATCGAAAGACAATTTTTTACCTGCAATCAGCTGCTCGCGCAACAAAAAAGAAAAAGTTTTCTGCATTGAACTGTTACTGGTGATAAAAAGTGGAAATGTTATGACAGCCCTAAACGCATAAAAGCATGGGTCAAGCCCGGCAAGATATCAACATGGACAGCCAAACCAAATATTCACAGTTCCAAGCCCATGCTCTGTATCTGGTGGGACCAACTTGGAGTAATATTTTATGAGCTGCTTAAACCAAATGAGACAATTACAGTAGACTGTTACTAATGATAATTGATCAAGCTGAGCCAAGCATTGAATGATAAAAGGTTAGAATATACAGGAACACATGAAAAAATTATTCTTAAGCATGACAATAACACAACCACATGTTAAAAATGTTGTAATATACTACCTGGAAAACCTCAAATGGGAAATCCTACCCTACCTGCTATATTCACCAAAAATGCCCCCTCACATTACCATTTTTTCTGGTCAATGGCACATGGGCTGGCTGAGTAGCAATATTCTCATGACAATACAAAAAAAAAATGGGTCGATGACTGGATTGTCTCAAAAGATCAAGATTTTTTCCTTTTTTCAATAAGAAAATCAAAATAATATTTTTTTTATTACTTTAGTACAAATATTCATCAATTTATGACCCAGGAACATAGGGTGACAAAAAAGTCATAACCCTAATATATATATACATATATATTTACAATTTAAATTTGTAAAAGTGTTAACCCCCAGACAAATAATATACAAAATCCAGAGCATTAGTAAAGTACCGTGTATTATGTTTTGTACTATTGCTTTTATTTTCCATAAGAACTTCATTAAATGCAGGGGTCTTTGGAGGTCTTTCATCAAATTCATTTGTATCCATAAGTATACTGTTTTCTTTATCATGCATACCTAAATAAGCAAAATATGGAAATTAAATGTTAGTTAAACTAAAAATGAAAATATTGTATTTGAAAGATTAGAAAAAACATTAAAAGATTTTATTTATTTATTAAATTTTTTTGTTTAAACACATTAAAACAAACTGAAAAAAAAGTTTACTAAAATCAACTTCTTTTTTTTACAGTATATTAAATACAAATTTTCTAGTTATTATGCTAATTTGAATACTACTAGTTATTATGCTAATTTGAACTCCTTTTAAAAACAAATAATACGGAAACTATATAGTAATTAATAATATATAAGCTTATAATAATAAATAGTTTATAATAAAAAATAGTTAATAATAAAAAATAGTTAATAATAAAAAGCTTATAATAATAAATGAGCTTATAATAATAAATAAGCTTATAAGTAACAGTGGAAACATTCAGCAAACAAATCCACACAAAAAATATGCAATCAAATAAGTCAGATTTCAGGTTTTATTGTCTAAGATAACAGAAAAGTATTGGTTTTAAAACTTTTGTAATTGACTTAACATTCAAGATCAACTTAGATTTGACAAATCAATGGATTTAGAGCATTTGAAGCAACTTATCAAAGCAATCCAAGAACCACTAAAATACAGTTTTCTACTTGAAATATTGTGTACTAGCAAAATAGATTTTTTATTTACATTTTTTCATCCTTCAACATAAAATGTTAAAAAACTTCTTTTTAATAAAAAACATAAAAAAAAAAACTATTTAAAAGCATTTTTTTTTTCTTCATTGTTCAAATTTTAAATCTAATATAAATTTGTAGCACTAATTCTTTAATGATAAAATTTATAAGTATTTTGTTACATTTTTGTTACATAAAATTTATAAGTATTTTTGTGAGCAACTCAAAAATTTGCCAAGTAAAAATAACATATACCTGTAAATAAAACTCTTTTTCCTCTCTTTGATTGACTACTTCTTAAAATGCTTTGAGGAGTAATAGGTGCTGATGTACCCATTCTAATATGTGGTGTTGTTGGTACAAGACGGTCTTTTGTTGAAAAATTTTCTTTTGCAGGAGAAAATTTATACAACTAAGAAAAAAAGATTTGATGCCTTATTCTTTAAATAAGGCTTTAATTAGTATGATTAAATAATATTCTTTAAAAAATAAAGCATAGCAAAGCACCAGAAATTTGCTGGTTGTCTATTGTTTTATAATATTTGAAAAATTTGTGCTGAGGACTTGGAAAAATATTGCAGATAATGTATGATTCCTACTCTGGAGTGCTTATTATAACGGAGGGGGAAAGGAAAGGAAAATGGAGAGAGGGGGATTTTAAACCAGATCTAATTAACAGGAGATTTTAATAAAAAGTTGGGTGGAAACAGAACATGCATTAAACAATTTAATACTAGTGTGGCTTGCAGTCAAATGTGTATTTTTTAACAAATGTTTTATCATAATTTCAATAGCATTTAATATGCTTATATAACTTTTATACTATGGTGAGAAATAAACAAAAAGGTAAAAAAAAAATTTTTTAATGCTAATTCACCTCCCAAGACCAAAAAGGACACTACAATCAAGGAGACTACATTAGTTATGGTTACAACCCTCTCTAAACTCTTTATCTCTGAAACACAAAACTTGATGAACAAGGCCACAGGGTGGAGAAACAAGTGGAACACATTAACATTTTTCTTATGGGGTCCATTTCTCCAATATTTCTGGAATGAAGCTTTTAACAACTATTGAACATAATGCAATTAAAAAGCTTAAAAACATTTTTTACAAATGGGTTAAAATGATGAAAAAAATAAAATGAGCTTTGGCAACACAAACAGCAACACAAAAAAATAAAATGAGCTTTGGCAACACAAACAATGAAATTTTTTTTGTGAAGAAATTGTTTTAATTTTCAATATAGCACATGCAGATGCCATGAGTGTTATTACAATTGAGAAAGACTGGCTATTTCTAATGGATCAGCGAGGTGAACTTAAAGGATATATGGCCGGAGTTGACATAGTAATGGCGAAAAACAGAAAATTGTGTCAAAAAAAAAAAAAATTAGAAGAGTTCAGATGTTGTTAGGAAGAAAAGCGAAAAAAAGAAGCTGAAAATACGTAACATTGATTTAATGCACGTATCTGACAAGTCTATATCTGGCACTGAAACCACAGATGAAGCATTTATAAAACCAAGGAAATCTACTCAAAATATTGCACAGTGGGCCAGAATTTTTTTTCCGTAGCCAAAAGTCACAAAAAAGTCAAATCTTCTAAACTTTTTTTTTATTTTATTATTGAAACATAAATGCTTTACTCTACTCAAAAATGTATCCGTTTAATTACTAGAGATGAAGGCAAGCTTGCTAGAACCATTCATAATGGCTTTAAAATTGTTGAATTTTCGGAAATTTTTTTTTTCAAAAATACTTATCCTCAAAATTTACATAACTTTTTTCAATTAAAAAAGCTTTGGACTTTTTTTATTTTAAGTAAATATATTAACTTAGTGCTTATAAAAATTAAATGTTTTAGTTATATATTTGTATTTAATTTATTCATAATATGTCTCAGAATTGTTGGTATTTTAAAGAGGTTTTTCTAAATTTTCTTGTCTTCCTTTTTCTAAATGCCACTCGAAGATTGTTTGATTTTCTGATTTTTGCATTTATTAAATGGCAGTTATTGTTCAAAAAAAAACCAGCTGCGACCATGTATTCGTTAAGATATTTGTTTAAGGAATATAGTTTTTTTTTTTTTCAAATTTTATTTAACACATCAAACTGTTTTTGTTTAAAATAAACTTTTTTTTATTACTTTAATATTTTCTAAAAAGGAAAAAAAAAAGAAAATCATTTCACTATAAATACATAAAAATCAAATATTTAAGTATTCTATTCCAACCAAATGCCGCTCTCTTGAAATCGGAATTAATGATATTTAGGAAGTATAACAGTTGTTTAATACTATTAAATAAAATCAGCTGCGACTAGCCATAACTTAGACTTAAAATCGATTTTGAAATTTCAAGATTTTAGGCTAATTTAATTCTTACTTTACAATGCATTGTGACGTGAAAAAAATCATTTGTCTGGAAATTTGAAGTTTATATGATATGGAAGACTACTTAGTTAATAATTGCAGCAATTTAATTAAAAACTTGTAACGTTAAAAACTTAAAAAAACCTTAGGCATAAAAAATTAATGTAGAAACTGTAAGAAAATTGAAGTTAGGCACTTGCACATACTGTAAGGGTTAAAAAATAATTAAACTATTAGTCATTAACATCGTTCATATAAACTTCTCGTGAATTACACTAACTATATTTTATATTGTTAATATAAAATAGTCATTTAAAAATTAGAATTTATTTTTATTAGCTCAAGGTTAAAACTTTATTCCTATTTTACATATTAGTGCACATAATAATTTTGCTTAAATCAAATGGTAAAAATAATATAAGTAAAATCTTAGTCAGTATTTTCAAAGTCGACATAGTAATAAAATGGCAAATCAGTGTTTTCGTTTTCAGATGATTCAATGTCATTGTGCTCATTAAAATTTCTTATTTCATTTATGTTTATTTGTTTTAGTTCCTCGTTTCTATCATCATATCAAAATCATCATCCTCATCCAACTCATATTCTTCATCCGCATAAATATCATCATTAGCATCATTTGTATTTTCTTTTTCAGTTTCTTGAAAAAGAAGATCAACTGCGTCTCCATCTAGATTCATTTTTTTATGTTTACATTTCGATATTGCATAGTTTAGAGATGAAAGAATTGGGTCACTCAAAAGCATTAAATAATTGAATTGGTCTGTCATTGTAGCTTTTCAATCAAATTTACAAGTGTGCTGTAAACAAATATTTTTATTGTCTTTATTCCGAGCTTTGATTGTATCTTCAGAGTACATTCCAATTGGTAGCATAAATCTAGTTAATGTCAGATTACTATGAATGAGTAGTATGTGTACTGAGGCTGGCATGTAAAACCTTGAGTACTCTTTTGCAGTTTCCAAACAATATGTTTCATATTTGGCTATGTTAATTTTTTTATTTAAATTAATGACAGATAAAATAATGTATAGCCTGTAGATTAAATCTTTCTTGACTCTTGTTATTCGCGAAAACTCTGCATGCTGACAAAAAACACGACGAGCAGTACTGCCATCATTTGATGTCCCAGATCCGCCTTGAAAAGGCATGTCAACAATAAGGGCAATTTTTGCAAACTCACGCTGAACAAACTTTTTTTTTACCGCTGCTAATTTTATATTTTCAGGTCCAGGTATTTGCCATTCTTTAATATCAAGTCTATAACTTATATGTAAAATACACTCGAAACATCAAATCCATGCATGTAATGACGATAACCCAAACTCTAAGCTTTGCGAATCCGTTGAACAGATCAGAGCTTTATCTAAGTTGTTCATTGATCTAGGAGTACATTTGAAAATAATACAAATTTGAGCCAATTAATTGTCACAAATTGTATTTACTGCTTTTCTATCAATCATTGTAAGCTTAAGATTGAAGCTTACTTCAATTACAAGCTTCTTTTCAGCTTCTGGTTCCATTATTTCTACATCAATAATCATTGCACTCTCCTCAAGCAAATCGATTTGCTTGTCAAAGTATTTGTTTTCTTCTCATAAAACTAAAGGGTTTTCTACAATATACTGAATTCTTAGTGGGCGGCAGAATCGTGTTGAAGAAGGCACTTGATTTTCCCAAATTGTCGTAACACCATACGATAACTTAAGTGGCACTAGGCAAGTAGAAAACAAGCTTTGATCAGACATTAAAACATTACATTCATCATTGTTGTTTATTTGGACGTAAAATTTTTGTTTATACTGTTTTTGGCTACTTGCACCATCAAAGCCCCATTTGCAATACAAAGTCATTCCTAAACAGGATTCAAGGGAATCAAGTTTCGATATTTTGTTTTTAACAGTAGTTATTTGCGACATTCGATGAACTGTATGGTATAACAATTCTTTCAGTGTAACTTCACCTCTCATTCCATTTTCAGCTATATAAATACCATCAAGATAACACTTTTTTTTTCGACGCGAATGTTGTTATATGTAGGATATTCGCATTCGAATGTTGTTATATGTAGGATATTGTTGTTATATGTAGGATATTCGCATTACATTTAATTGAGTTATTTCACATAACCTGATATTGCGTCTTCGATAAATTCATAGCTGTCATTAATGCTAATCCCTCTAGTGGCGTATTAGGTACAATTTACTTGTTTTTGTCCTGAATAAAACATTTTATTTCATTTTCCGAATTTAAATTTGATAAACATTCTTTTAATATGTTCAACAAACTATATCGCTTTTTCTTTTTTAACCCCATTTCTGCTGCTTGTAAGATTTTATCATTATCATGATTTACTAACAATATGGATGCGTGACGACGTTTACTTCGGTAGGACATATCTTCGTATTTTTTACATGGTCTCCCAAATGACTGTTCATTTAAACAAGAAACATTTAAATTGACGGTTTGTGATGATTGTTTGCTAGGTTGCTGACTAATTAAAGACAAAATTTTATTGTTAAGCCAAAATGACTCGCCACTTAAAAATTTGTTTTTTTTTCGAAAATATTTTTTGCTAAGTTTTGATCGGCATTTTCATACAAATTCAAGAAGAGCTTTTTCAAAATGACTAAAATCATCATTTAAATTGATGGATACATTTAATTCGTTTTTGAGCATACTAATATACTGATCTACCATTTGTCTTGATGTAAGTTGTGATGAAATAGTGCCTTTAATTTTTTCAAATACTTGAAGTCGAGTTATGTTATTAAACATTTTTATAAGATAACTTGACTATTTATGAGATAAGAGTTTTAATAATGCTACTTCAAGAGAAAATTTAAATATCTATAATTGAGTGTAATTTTATTCAAATAATTTTATTACTTTCGGAACATGATTGCAATCAAATAAATGCAATTATCAACTAATTAGTCTTCATATAATCATATAGTATCATATAAACTTCAATTTTCCAGACAAATATTTTTTTTCACGTCACAATGCATTGTAAAGTAAGAATTAAATTAGCATAAAATCTTGAAATTTCAAAATCGATTTTAAGTCTAAGTTATGGCTAGTCGCAGCTGATTTTATTTAATAGTATTAAACAACTGTTATACTTCCTAAATATCATTAATTCCGATTTCAAGAGAGCGGCATTTGGTTGGAATAGAATACTTAAATATTTGATTTTTACCTATTTATAGTGAAATGAAAATTCAATAATTTTAAAGCCATTATGAATGGTTCTAGCAAGCTTGCCTTCATCTCTAGTAATTAAACTGATACATTTCTGAGTAGAGGTAAAGCACTTATGTTTCAAAAATAAAATTAAAAAAAAGTTTAGAAGATTTGGCTTTTTTGGGACTTTTGGAAACAGAAAAAAAATTCTGGCCTACTGTGTATTGTAAAGAGGTGATCTCAAAGTATTATTTCATTTGATTTAGCATCTGCTCTTGACGTCACAGATGATCAAGCAATTTATTTACTGGCAGCTGCAGCAAAGGGTTTATGTCATGACATTTCAGATTTTGCTATCAGTCGCGATATGATCCGGAGAGCTAGAATTACTAATCAAAACAAAATTGCTACAACCATTAAGTCTACATTCAACTCATCAAATGTTCCATTGACTGTTCATTTTGATGGCAAAATATTGCCAGATATAATTGGAAGTGATTTGGTTGATCGTATAGCAATTGTTGTCAGAGGTTATAAAGTTGACTAGCTTCTTGGCATTCAGAAGTTAACAAGTGGAACCGGTGAAACAGTGAGTGAAAATGTTATAACAACTTTACTAGATTAGAAGATTGAAGACCGAGTTAAAGCAACAAGTTTTGATACAATGGCTGCCAACACTCGTACCAAAGCTGGAGAGTGTACTTCAGTTGAAAAAAAGCTTGATAGATTGTATTGCATTTAGCATGCCATCATCATATGTATGAAGTTGTCTTGAGTAATGTTTTTAAGCACTCTCTTGGGAAATCCAATGGCCCTGAAATAGGATTATTTAAACATTTTTGTGACAAGTGGTCATTCATTGACAAAAAAGGTTATGAAACAGTGGTAAATTATTAAACATGTTCTGACACCTTAGCTTCTTCCAGCATACTTAAACAATATGTACTATTTTATTTGAAAACAATTCTTAAATCTACTTGACAATATCAAGATGAATACAAGAAATTGTTGGAAACAAAGATGTTGTTTCTTGATGATGTTTTCTCTCATGGTGCTCATGTCATGGCTCCCGGAGCCATACACAGGGCGAGGTGAATGGCAAAAATTTTATATTCAACAAAAATATGGATATTCAAGAGACAGTTCAAATTAATATGAAAATGAGGAAAAATCACTTCAAGATATAAGCTTGTTGGCTAGTTTAATGTACACCAAATGTTGGATATCATGTACTAATCCAACACTGGCTCTGCTTTGTGACATAGAATACTTTGAAACTTTTAACATTTAGGAGTTACAACAAATTTTTTGACCACTGTTGATCCAGACAAGTGGACCAAAAATGAAGAGTTTCAACAGGCTGTAAAGTTTGTAAAAAGTCTGCAAGTTGTTAATGATACAGCCAAATGAAGAGTAAAACTAATTCAGGATTTTAATTGTCAATTACTAAAAATGAAGAACAAAAAGAATTTATGCTGCAGGCAGTTTCTGAACACAGGTCAAAATTTTCTTTTTCAAGTTATTGTGTATATATGTACATATGTATATATTCATATATACACAATAACTTAATTTGAACTGTCTCTTAAATATCCATATTTTTGTTGAATATAAAACGATGGAAACAAAAATCGATATATATATATTTTCATATGATATAACAAATTTGGACTATGGATTTATTTTATTTTGTTATTAATGCAGGAAATTTTCCTATGCCCAAAAAATTTAGCAAAAAAGCTAAACTATCAATGAGACTTGAAGCTCTAACTATTATTAAGATTTTTTTAAACTAATATTAAGATTTTTTTAAATATTTTGAATGTAAATATATTATTATAGACTAGAAGTTAATTACTTTATTCTTTAATTATTTAATTTTTAAACAATAATATTAATAAATTAGTTTTCAAAATAGTATATGGTTTTCGATTAGTATACAGTAAAAGTTAAAATGCAATGTTGTATTTTAATTTAGGATTGCTCACTAAGAGATTTCAGACTAAAATAACCCCAAAAGTAAAAAACTTAATGTTGATGAACGATCTTTAAAAATTATACAACCATGCCCAAACTTTACAATTGTTACACATTAATACATCACAAAATAAAATGGTAACATTGAAGAAATTTTATTTTTTTGCCCCACTCTAATATATATATATATATATATATATATATATATATATATATATATATATATATATATATATATATATATATATATATATATATATATATATATATAAGTATATATGTATATGTATATGTATATATATATATATATATATATATATATATATTTATATGTATGTATGTAAGTATGTATGTATGTATGTATATATATATATATATATATATATATATATATATATATATATATATATATATATATATATATATATGTATATATATATGCACATATACATATGTACATATAAACACAATAAAATATATATATATATATATATATATATACATATATATATATATATATATATATATATATATATATATATATATATATATATATATATATATATATATATATATATATATATTATACATGTATATATATATGCACATATACATATGTACATATAAACACAATAAAATATATATATATATATATATACATATATATATATATATATATATATATATATATATATATATATATATATATATATATATATATATATATATATATATATATATATTATATGGGGAGGAGAGTGATCCGATTCATCTAACTACCATCCCATTAGTCTTCTTCCTATCATAAGCAAGGTTTTTGAATCTTTAATTAACAAACACTTAATCTCAAATCTCGAATCTCATAACCTACTTTCTGATCATCAATATGGATTTCGATCTTCTTGCTCTACGGCTGATTTGCAAAAGTAATAACCAATAGGTTTTATCGTGCATTAGATAAAGGTGAAGAGGTTAAGGCCATTGCTCTTGACAATTCTAAAGCGTTTGATAAAGTTTGGCATGCTGGTCTTCTCCATAAGCTTTCTTCTTACGGTGTATCTGGAAACATCTTTAAGATTATTGAATCCATTTTTTCCAATCGTAATATAAAAGTTGTCTTTGATGGACCTCAGGGGTTCCTCAAGATTCAATCCTTGGCCCTATACTCTTTTTAATTTACATTAAGGATCTTCCAGATATTCTCACATCTAAGGTGGCATTGTTCGCTGATGATACTACCATTTATTCTTGTCACGATAAGAACCAACTCCCTCTGATTGCTTGCAGGGAGCATTTGAGCTTGAAAAGGATCTCACTTCTGCTACAGCATGGGGCTCACAGTGGCTGGTGAACTTTAATTCAGATAAAACTCAATTTTTTTCAGCCAATCATTATCGCAATAATTAAGACCTTCCGTTATTTATGAACGGTAATGTACTTGATGAGTCATCTACCCTTCATCTTCTAGGATTAACTCTCACTTCTGATCTTTCTTGGAAACCTTATATCAAATCCATTGCAAAATTAGCTAAAGTTGCATCTCTTTATCGAACTCGACAATGCGTTTTTGCACCTTCTCTTTTAGACAAGGTGCAAAAACGCATTGTAAACATAGTTGGACCTGCTCTTGTAGGCAACCTTCAACCTCTGTCACATCGTCGTAATGTTGCTTCTCTTTCTCTTATCTAAAAAATACTTTAATGGGCACTGCTCTAAAGAGCTAGCGTCTCTTGTGCCATCTACTAAAATTCATTCTTGTGTTACTCGTCATTCAATTAAGTCTCATCCTTTTTCTGTTACTTTTCCTAAGTGCTCTAAAAACTCTTATTCGTCTAGGTTTTTTCCTCGAACATCAGTTCTTTGGAATTCGCTTCCTTCATCTTGCTTTCCTGATTCATATAATTTGCAATCTTTTACGTCGTCTGTCAATCGTTATCTTGCTCTACAATCTTCATTTTTTCTCTTCCAGTAACTTCCAACACTTATTAGTGGTTGCTTGCAGCCTTGTTGGAAGCGAAGATGTTAAAAAAAAAAAATACTGCAAAAATAATTATGAAAACTAGAGTCAACTAGTAGAATTCACAGTTCAAGTCAGACCTAAATATCTTTAATATGGTCCATAAACCCAGCTGCTTGTTCAAGATAAACTCTTTGAATGTAAACTTCTCTAATCAACCACCCAGATAACTTGTTTTAATTGGGTAAAAGCAGGCTTTATGTAAATGTAAAAGCATAAAAATTTCCATAATAAAATTATCATTTTAAACATGGCACAATGAATGAAGTGCAAACTTTTAAATCAAACGATCTGTGGCTTATTGTTTGTTTTGGTCATAAAAAATAATTTTTATAAAAAAAGCATTAAACCTTCTTAAATGCTATTCTGCATTGCTCAGTGACATTAGGTTTTTCTTCAAGTACCTTAAGAACCACATCAGAACTCTTTAGGTTTAGACATTAGTTTTTTTTTTAAGTACTTTAAAAACTACAAAAAACAAAATACAATACATATAAACATACCTGGTTAACATCAACGATTTCTTCTACTCTAAACTTATGATCTTTAACATGTGAATCAACAGCCTGTGACTTTAACTTTTGTTCATATTCAGCTTGAATTTGATGAGAATTAGAGCGTTCTAAATCAACTTGGTGAGAAAGCTCTTTAATCAATTTCTCTAACTCTTGATTACGAAATTCAAGTGAAGACATTTTAGAGAGATTTTCTTCCAACTGAAGTATTTTAATCTTTTGATATTCATTTAATTGGATGGCTTCCTTTAACTGGTTTCTAAAAGTATTTATGTCAAAACAAAATAATAACAAGTCAGTATATTACAATTAAATTTATTTAAATGGAGCAATTTTGTTATATAATCTTTTTATGTAAATAAAATTTGATATAATTAAATAACAAACCTACCTTCCAAAACCTAAAAGGCTGTTAAAACTTATGAATTCATGAATTAAACTTATTATTTCAATAATACCTCAAACTATCAACTTTATCAGAAAAAGACTTTTGTAATTCTTCAATTTGTTGCTTCATAGCACTATTATCTTTTTCATAACTTTCTACAATTTTATCATTTTCTATTTTATAATGTTCAAGAGTCAAACAAAACTCTCTTTGCTCATTGTCACATCGCGAAATCATTAAACCTAACTCCTTCTCAGCAGTCTCAAGTTTTTTAGTGCAATCTAAAAGCTTGGCATTACTTGATGTTATTTCATCAGCAGAAACTTTTAACTGTTCTTCGTGTTTTTCTATTTTTTCAATTTTGGATTTCAACTGAATTTTTAAAGATTTACACTCCTTTTCAATAGACTTTAACTGTTTTGCTTTATTATTGATTTGACTTTGTAAAGATTTAGTTTTAATGCCAAGATCTTCACTTTTCTTTTCACGATCGGCAAGTTCATTTTTTAAGTTTAGTTCATTTTCAATTTCTTTATCTTTTAATTCATTTAATATAGTTTCCTGCTCTTTATTAGTTTTTTTTAATTCAAAAATTTCTGTTATTAAAGCATTATGTTGTTTTTGTTGTTCGCTCAGTGTAAAAACTTTTTCTTCAATTGAATATTGCAGTTGCTCAACTTTGGATAATAAAATACAATTTTCTTTGCTTAATTTAATAGTTTCATTTTCAAATTCATTGTTTTTTAACTTTAATTCAGCAATAGTTGTATCAAGTGAGCCAATGTGCAATTTTGTGTATTCTATTTGATTTTCATATTCAACTTGCATTCTTTTTCTATCTCTATCATATTCATTTAGTCTTTCTAAATCAACTTCCATATTTTGAATTTGCGATTGATATTCTTTTTTTTCTACTTCATGTTTTAGTAAGAATTCATTTAACTCTAAAATTTTTAAATTTAAAGTTGCATTGTCATCAATAACAGATTTAAAATTTTCTTTAACATTAAAAAGTTCATTTTCACAATTCACAATTGCCTGCAAGTTATTTTTTTTACTCAATTCCATTTCACTTATTAATTGATTTGCTTTATCAAGTTTCTCTTCTGTTTCATTTAATAAAATGGTCATTGATTTTAATTTTTTTGATAGATCTTTGATTTCCTCTTCCTTACTTTTTATTTGTTCATTTACTTTTTCAAATTCAATTTTGGTTTGATTAAGAGTCAAAGAAAGATTTTTTATATCATTTTGTAAAGATACAATCTCATTAGTGTAAATATTCTCCACTTCTTTAGCATGAATATCTTTGGCATCATTTTCACTTTGAGCAAGCTTATATAAATTTTCAGCCTCTAACAACTTTTCATTACAATTGTTTAGCTTTTGAGAAACTTCAAAAAATGATGCAGAAGTCTCTGCAAGAGACTTCTGGTGAGTGTTTAATATCTAAAATAAAACCTAATAATAAAGAACACAACAACAAAAATATAATTAAGACAACAAATAAAAAATAATAAAGACAACAAATGAAAAATAATAAAGACAACAAATAAAAAATAATAAAGATAACAAATAAAAAATAATTAAGACTACAAATAAAAAATGATAAAAACAACAATTAGCATTCCTTAATGAATAAAAAAAAACTTATACTTGTTCAGCTTGATGTAATTTATTAACAGAAATGTTTAACTGATTATTTAAACTTTCAATTAGTTCTTCGTTTGCTATTAACTTAGTGCCATAATCTTTTATACTTTTTTCATGGTTGGTTTTCAACTCAATTAAACTAACTACTTGATTTTCAAGATGATGAATACCTGACTCTAGACTTTTAACCTTAAATAACAAAAATATCATATAACTAAATTTCATGCTTATATTTCATAACAAAAAACTTTTGTTGATCAAATAAAGCATCCAATAAAGCTGTAACCAAAAAAATCAAAAAAAAATTATTGGCAAAAATTGCTTTATGTTGATTGACAATTAAAAATTAAATCTAATTTTAAGATTTAATTTTAAAACAAGAAAGTTTAGAACTTTACTAAACTTTTTTGATGCTTAACAAACAAAAATTACAAGCTTATAAAATACATAAACATTTAAAAACAAATGAGACACTACCTAAAATAACTAATAAAAAAAACTTTAAAGATTTCTAATGACTAAGCATTTAACTAAAGTATATAAGTAAATCTTTATCCAATTACATCAATTAATATCATAACTAGGTAATGTATTCAATGAGCTATCTTTTTTTTTTTTTTTTTTTTTTTTTTTTTAACATCTTCACTTCCAACAAGGCTGCAAGCAACCACTATAAGAGTTGGAAGTTACTGGAAGAGAAAAGACTAAATCTGTAGAGCAAGATAACGATTGACTGATGACTTAAAAGATTGCAAATTATATGAATCAGGAAAGCAAGATGAAGGAAGCGAATTCCAAAGAACTGATGTTCGAGGAAAAAAACTAGAAGAATAAGAGTTTTTGAAGCACTTAGGAACAGTCACAGAAAAAGGATGAGACTTAATTGAATGGCGAGTAACACGAGAATGAATTTTAGTAGATGGCACAAGGGACGCTAGCTCTTTAGAGCAGTGCCCATTATAATATTTGTAGAAAAGAGAAAGAGAAGCAACATTACGACGATGTGACAAAGGTTGGAGATTGGCTGCCAGAGCAGGTCCAACTATGTTTACAATTCGTTTTTGCACCTTGTCTAAAAGAGAAAGAGCATCATTAGAAGATCCGCCCCAGATGTGGCAACAGTATTCCATACAGGGACGGATTTGAGATTTATAGAGATAGAGAATAGAATCTGGAGTAAGAAAGTGTCGAGCTCGATAAAGAGATGCAACCTTAGCAGATGCTAATTTTGCAATGGATTTGATATACGGTTTAAAAGAAAGATCAGAAGTAAGAGTTAATCCTAGAAGATGAATGGTAGATGACTCATCTAGTACATTACCATTCATAAATATAGGAAGATCTAAATTATTACGATAACGATTGGCCGAATAAAATTGAGTTTTATCTGAATTAAAGTTCACCAGCCACTGTGAGCCCCATGCTGTAGCAGAAGTGAGATCCTTTTCATACTCAGATACCCCCTCCAAGCAATCAGAGAGTGTAGGCTTCTTATCATGACAAGAGTAAATGGTAGTGTCGTCGGCGAATAATGCCACCTTAGATGTGAGAATATCTGGAAGATCCTTAATGTAAATTAAAAAGAGTATAGGGCCAAGGATTGAACCTTGAGGAACCCCTGAAGTTACAGGATGTGAAGAAGAGTGTTGTCCATCGAGGACAACTTTTATACTACGATTGGAAAGAAAGGACTCAATAATCTTAAAGACGTTACCAGCTACACCATAAGAAGAAAGCTTATGGAGAAGACCAGCATGCCAAACTTTATCAAAAGCTTTAGAAATGTCAAGTGCGATAGCCTTAACCTTTCCACCTCTATCTAATGCACGGTAAAACCTATCGGTTATTACTGTTAGCACATCAGCTGTAGAACGAGAAGACCGAAATCCATATTGATGATCAGAAAGTAAGTTATTTGATTCAAGATGAGAGATTAAGTGTTTGTTGATTAAAGATTCAAAAACCTTGCTTATGACAGGAAGAAGACTAATGGGACGGTAGTTAGATGAATCAGATCGCTCTCCGGAATTTTTGAAAATAGGGATAACAGATGCTGCTTTCCAGCATGATGGAAAACAAGACTCTGATAAGCACTTGTTAAATAGTTTAGAGAGTATGGATGAAAGCTCAGGAAAACACCTCTGCAAGACTACAACAGGAATGTTGTCAGGACCACAAGCTGTTGAAGAGTCTAAGCAGGAAATTACTTTTGATACAGAAGCTGAAGTGATGCGAATGTCAAGCAAGGGATCAACCTGTTTGACGGCTATGTCAGGTAGAACGCAACTAGTGGAATCAAGAGATGATATTGATGAAAAATTCTTAGCAAACAATTCAGCTTTGTCTTTAGGTGAGGTGACAAAGTCTGAACCATACAAGAGAGAAGGAATAACAGATTTGCCCTTATTATTGATACTGTTAAAGATTCTCCAGAAGTCTCGAGAGCCTAATTTTTGTGATGAGATACGAGATTTTATGACCTGAGAATAGCGAGCTTTGGCATCAGACAAAACCTTTTTACAATGGTTTCTGGCGATAGTGAACAGATGTCTGTTTTCTGGAGAATTGTTTTGCTGATAGATATGAAAGTAACGGTTTCGATTAGAAATTGCTGCAGCGCAATGTGAGGAAAACCAAGGAGAAGAGTGAGGCTTGACCTGGAATCGTCGAGAGGGAATAAAAGATTCCATGCCAGCCTGAATCCACGAAGTTATGTAAGAAGCACATTTGTCAGCAGGAAGACGAAAGATTTCTACCCAAGGGCCATCACGAAGAAAATCACGGAAAGAGTCCCAGTCAGCTTTAAGGTAGTTGTATGTGGTACGATGATAGGGGGATTCTGATGAAGTAGAAGAATTTGATAATAGTTTTAGAGAGATCAAACCGTGATCAGAAGTACCTAAGGGTGAATGTGGAGAAATTGAGCACTGACTAGGATCCAAAACAAGACATAAGTTGAGTAGAGAAGGTAAAGGATTAGGGTTGTCTGGAAAACGAGTTGGAAAGTTGACTATTTGAGTTAGAGATTAAGAAAGGCAAAAGTTGAGGGCCTTAACGCCAGCAGAGTCACTGACACTAGAGCCAAAGATAAAGAGAGAGGGCTTGGTCAATTTGATCAGAAATAACATCAAGAATAGTGCAATCTTGGGATGAAGGAGAGCGATATAGAACAAAGAGAAAGGCGATAGAGTGAAGTTGTGCTAAACGAAAGCACATAAATGAATAGTCTGTAGATTCAAACCTAGTTTCACGACAAATGGGTGAGTTCTTAAGAATGTAGATGCCCAGACCAAGCATGTGATTATTGGAGTCTTTACGAATTAAAGGAAGATAACCATCAACACTAAGATCACAAGATAGGACAGCCGAACTCAAATTAGTCTCACAAAGAGCAAGTAGGTCTGGTGAACTTTGCAAGAGATAAGACTCAACAGAAGAAAAGTTACTTCGAAGACCACAAATATTAGTAAATGATAGGTTTAGAGAACTTGGTGATGACGATGGTTTTTTGTGTTTTTTAGTTTTGGGTACTTTAGTCATTTTAAATTTATAAAGAACTTGACTCAAGTATAGATAGTACTCAGTACACTATTTAACAACTAAGCAATAGCCTCATTACTATTAATAAACCCTAAACCGTAACAAAGGGCTCCAAATGTGGCCTCTGCAATGCACACCAAAAGTACAAACAGGGACACCATCCATGCGCAACATGGCACTGTTAGTACTCTGATATTTTTCGGCTGTTGATGGAATCAGCCTCTCTGAGAGCTACCACAGAGTTCGGGAAACCTGACTACCAGCCGGCCTCAGAACCATAAAACTGAGTTTTAGAGCTGTACCCTCATTAGGAGATAATAGAATGAGTTGCCCAGTCATAAAAATAGAGACACAAGCAATACCCACGCATTGAGTCAAGAAGATCCAGCGTTCAACATCCTAAACTGGAAACAATGTATTAAAAATACATCTGCGCCAGCCTAATAGATGAGGAAGGGGTGCGAGGCTGGTCAACAGATAGAATCTGTTTACCCCTTAAGTCTTTGCCTAGGAGGCCTTCTACAAGACAGCAGCTGGATGCATGTAACATCTGCCCAAGATGAGTATTTTTATCGAGACACCATCTCTAGCCTTTACTCAACCAAGAGCCCCAAGGCAGGGGGTGTTTTAATTCGGAGTTAACTTCTCCTAGCCTTTGCCTAAAAAAGCGTATCCTACAAGGCAGCAGGACATGGAGCAGGTTGTACTGGGTTACATGTTACCAGTAGCAGGAAAACCTGACCTGAAAACTACCTTTCTATCTACCTTTCATCTTCTAGGATTAACTCTTACTTTCGATTTTTTGGAAACCTTATTGCAAAATTAGCATCTGGTAGAGTTGCATCTCTTTATCGAGCTCAACACTTTTTTACTCCAGATTTTATTCTTTATCTCTATAAATTTCAAATCCGGCCTTGTATGGAATACTGTTGCCATATCTGGGGCTGATCTTCTGATGATGCCCTTTCTCTTTTAGACAAGGTACAAAAGCGCATTATAAACATAGCTGGACCTGCTCTTGCAGCTAACCTCCAAAAATTATCACATTGTCTTAATGTTGCTTCTCTTTCTCTTTTCTAAAAATACTATAATGGGCACCGCTCTAAAGAGCTAGCGCCTTTTGTGCCATCTACTAAAATTTATTCTTGTGTTACTTGTCATTCAATTAAGTCTTATTCTTTTTCTGTGACTGTTCCTGTGAATGTTCCAAAAACTCATATTCCTCTAGTTTTTTTTCCTCAAACATCAGTTCTTTGGAATTCACTTCCTTTATCTTGCTTTCCTGATTCATATAATTTGCAATCTTTTAAGTTGTCTGTCAACCATTATCTTGCTCTGCAATCTTCATCTTTTCTCATCCAATAACTTCCAACTCTAATAGTGGTTGCTTGCAGCCTTATTAAAGTGATGTTAAAAAAAAAAAAACTCGAGAACATTCTATTTATGTAATACTATAATACAAATGTATGATTGATAATACATAATAAACATAGAATTATAAAAAGTAGAAAACAATAGTAACATTTTTTTAACCATATTATAAAGTTATAAAAATTTTAAAAAATTAACTCTTGTTATCTAAAAATGAGTATATTGCTAAAATATTACTAGCTTCACACATTCTCTCAAAATATATACCACAACAATAT